GGGCGCCGGGCCAGGCGGGCACACCTCGAGAAGAGGGGCCTCTCCAGGGGCCAGACCGCGTCCCGCCCGGGCCCCACGGGGACCAACCGCAGGCGCCGCGCCCGCGAACCTCACGGGCGCCACCGTGCACGCAGGCTGAGTCCAAACAGGCACCGAACCCGAGGTCTGTTTCCTCCGCGGCAGTACCAGCCAAGCCCGGACTCTCGGGGTCAATACCCACGGCTCGAAGGAGCACCCCGGTCTACACTAGGCCGCAGGGCGACCCTGGGAAGCAGCGCAAGCTCGCTCTTCCTCACGCCCGTCGTGAGAGAACGGTGCCCCGGAGAAGGGGGTGGCAGGGTCCCAGCCCCCGAGCGAGCCTTGGCGCACGGTGAGCCCTGCCCGCCGGGACGCCACACTGTCCTGAGGTCAAGAACCTGGCGATCATAACACCGCAGCACACGCTCTGCACACGCACTCCAGGGCGCGCACGTCCCTCAGCTGGAATCTGGATGTGCCTCCAGCAGGTGACAGAGTGACGCGGAGGCTGGCTGGGCCCTTTGGGACACTTGCTCTTAGAACCCGCTCCAGGCCGTGAAGAGGCGGGAGCAACCGCTGCTGAGGCCCGCCTGCACTGGAACTGGGAGCCCGAGGCCAGTGCCAACGCACCTGCAGCGGTCACCCTGCGGGCCAGCCAGCCTCACCTCCCCCGAGCCCTGAGCTCCTGCGGATGCTGCCCTCCTGCCAGCACGCCCGGGGCGGCCCCTCGGGCAGCGGGAGCCGAGCTCCGCCCACGTGGAGCAGGAACCCGCGGCCTGGAGGGCAGCTTCTCTGCGCAGCGGGGTAAGTGGCTCCCAGCCTTGAGGAGGCTGCAAAGATAAAGCTGCAACAGCCCAGGACACTTTCTTCTTTAGTGAGTGTTGCACAAACAGAGGAAATGTGCAGACTCTGAAAATGGCAGGCTGTAAACTGTGGAAAATTATCAAGGTAAATTCATTTTATAAAAAGAAGCCTTTAGACACTATATCATACTTAAAGGATCTATCCAACAAGAAGATCTAACAATTGTAAATATCTATGCCCCTAACATGGGAGCAGCCAATTATATAAGGCAATTAATAACAAAAGCAAAGAAACACATCGACAACAATACAATAATAGTGGGGGACTTTAACATCCCCCTCACTGAAATGGGCAGATCGTCTAAGCAAAAGATCAACAAGGAAATAAAGACTTTAAATGACACACTGGACCAAATGGACTTCACAGACATATTCAGAACATTCCACCCCAAAGCAACGGAATACACATTCTTCTCTAGTGCCCATGGAACATTCTCCAGAATAGATCACATCCTAGGTCATAAAATCAGGTCTCAACTGGTACCAAAAGATTGGGATCATTCCCTGCCTATTTTCAGACCACAATGCTTTGAAACTAGAACTCAATCACAAGAGGAAAGTCGGAAAAAACTCAAATACGTGGAGGCTAAAGAGCATCCTACTGAAGAATGAATGGGTCAACCAGGAAATTAAAGAAGAATTAAAAAAATACATGGAAACCAATGAAAATGAAAACACAACTGTTCAAAATCTTTGGGATGCAGCAAAGGCAGTCCTGAGAGGAAAGTATATAGCAATACAAGCCTTTCTCAAGAAACAAGAAAGGTCTCAAGTATACAACCTAACCCTACACCTAAAGGAGCTGGAGAAAGAACAGCAAATAAAGCCTAAACCCAGCAGGAGAAGAGAAATAATAAAGATCAGAGCAGAAATCAATGAAATAGAAACTAAAAGAACAGTAGAACAGATCAACGAAACTAAGAGCTGGTTCTTTGAAAGAATTAACAAGATTGATAAACCCCTGGCCAGACTTATCAAAAACAGAAGAGAAATGACCCAAATCAACAAAATCATGAATGAAAGAGGAGAGATCACCACCAACACCAAAGAAATACAAACAATTATAAGAACATATTATGAGCAACTCTATGCCAGCAAATTAGATAACCTGGAAGAGATGGATGCATTCCTAGAGATGTATCAACTACCAAAACTGAACGAGGAAGAAATAGAAAACCTGAACAGACCTATAACCACTAAGGAAATTGAAGCAGTCATCAAAAATCTCCCAAAAAACAAAAGCCCAGGGCCAGATGGCTTCCCAGGGGAATTCTACCAAACATTTCAAGAAGAATTAATACCTATTCTTCTGAAACTGTTCCAAAAAATAGAAACGGAAGGAAAACTTCCAAACTCATTTTATGAGGCCAGCATTACCTTGATCCCAAAACCAGACAAAGACCCCATTAAAAAGGAGAATTACAGACCAATATCCCTGATGAACATGGATGCAAAAATTCTCACCAAAATACTAGCCAATAGGATCCAACAGTACATTAAAGGATTATTCACCATGACCAAGTGGGATTTATCCCTGGGCTGCAAGGTTGGTTCAACATCCGCAAATCAATCAATGTGATACAATACATTAACAAAAGAAAGAACAAGAATCATATGATCCTCTCAATAGATGCAGAAAAAGCTTTTGACAAAGTACAGCATCCTTTCTTGATCAAAACTCTTCAGAGTATAGGGATAGAGGGTACATACCTCAATATCATAAAAGCCATCTATGAAAAACCTACAGCGAATATTATTCTCAATGGGGAAAAACTGAGAGCTTTCCCCCTAAGGTCAGGAACGCGGCAGGGATGTCCACTATCACCACTGCTATTCAACATAGTACTGGAAGTCCTAGCCACAGCAATCAGACAACAAAAAGAAATAAAAAGCATTCAAATTGGCAAAGAAGAAGTCAAAGTGTCACTCTTTGCAGATGATATGATACTTTATGTGGAAAACCCCAAAGACTCCACCCCAAAACTGCTAGAACTCATACAGGAATTCAGTAAAGTGGCAGGATATAAAATCAATGCACAGAAGTCAGTGGCATTCCTATACACCAACAACAAGACAGAAGAAAGAGAAATTAAGGAGTCGATCCCATTTGCAATTGCACCCAAAACCATAAGATACCTAGGAATAAATCTAACCAAAGAGGCAAAGGATCTGTACTCAGAAAACTATAAAATACTCATGAAAGAAATTGAGGAAGACACAAAGAAATGGAAAAACGTTCCATGCTCATGGATTGGAAGAACGAATATTGTGAAGATGTCAATGCTACCTAGAGCAATCTACACATTCAATGCAATCCCCATTAAAATACCATCCACTTTTTTCAAAGAAATGGAACAAATAATCCTAAAATTTGTATGGAACCAGAAAAGACCCCGCATAGCCAGAGGAATGTTGAAAAAGAAAAGCAAAGCCGGCGGCATCACAATTCTGGACTTCAAGCTCCATTACAAAGCTGTCATCATCAAGACAGCATGGTACTGGCACAAAAACAGACACATAGATCAATGGAACAGAATAGAGAGCCCAGAAATGGACCCTCAACTCTATGGTCAACTAATCTTCGACAAAGCAGGAAAGAAGGTCCAATGGAACAAAGACAGTCTCTTCAACAAATGGTGTTGGGAAAATTGGATAGCCACATGCAGAAGAATGAAACTGGACCATTTCCTTACACCACACACAAAAATATACTCCAAATGGTTGAAAGACCTCAATGTGAGACAGGAATCCATCAAAATTCTAAAGGAGAACACAGGCAGCAACCTCTTTGACCTCAGCCGAAGCAACTTCTTCCTAAAAACATCGCCAAAGGCAAGGGAAGCAAGGGCAAAAATGAACTATTGGGACTTCATCAAGATAAAAAGCTTTTGCACAGCAAAGGAAACAGTCAACAAAACCAAAAGACAACCGACATAATGGGAGAAGATATTTGCAAATGACATATCATATAAAGGGCTAGTATCCAAAATCTATAAAGAACTCATCAAACTCAACACCCAAAGAACAAAGAATCCAATCAAGAAATGGGCAGAAGACGTGAACAGACATTTTTCCAAAGAAGACATCCAAATGGCCAACAGACACATGAAAAAGTGCTCAATATCGCTCAGCATCAGGGAAATCCAAATCAAAACCTCAATGAGATACCACCTCACACCAGTCAGAATGGCTAAAAATAACAAGTCAGGAAACGACAGATGTTGGCGGGGATGCGGAGAAAGGGGAACCCTCCTACACTGTTGGTGGGAATGCAAGCTGGTGCAGCCACTCTGGAAAACTGTAAGGAAGTTCCTCAAAAAGTTGAAAATAGAGCTACCATATGATCCAGCAATTGCACTACTGGGTATTTACCCCAAAGATACAAAAGTAGGGATCCGAAGGGGTATGTGCACCCCGATGTTTATAGCAGCAATGTCCACAACAGCCAAACTGTGGAAAGAGCCAAGATGTCCATCGACAGATGAATGGATAAAGATGATGTGGTATATATATACAAGGAATATTATGCAGCCATCAAAAGGAATGAGATCTTGCCATTTGCAATGACGTGGATGGAACTGGAGGATATTATGTTGAGCGAAATAAGTCAAACAGAGAAAGACATGTATCATATGATCTCACTGATATGAGGAATTCTTAATCTCAGGAAACAAACTGAGGGTTGCTGGAGTGGGGGGTACGGTGGGAGGGATGGGGTGACTGGGTGATAGACACTGGGGAGGGTATGTGCTCTGGTAAGCGCTGTGAATTGTGCAAGACTGTTGAATCTCAGATCTGTGCCTCTGAGACAAATAATGCAATATATGTTAAGAAAAAAAAAGAAGAAGAAGAAGAAGAAGGTAGCAGAAGGGGAAGAATGAAGGGGGGGAAATCGGAGGGGTAGACGAACCATGAGATGATGGACTCTGAAAAACAAACTGAGGGTTCTAGAGGGGAGGAGGGTGGGAGGATGGGTTAGCCTGGTGGTGGGTATTGAGGAGGGCACGTTCTGCATGGAGCACTGGGTGTTATGCACAAACAATGAATCATGGAACACTTCATCTAGAACTAATGATGTAATGTATGGGGATTAACATAAGAATAAAAAAAAAAGAAGCCTTCAGTTAACCAAGCATTTTAATCATGTACAATGTTCTAATTTAACAAATGAAAATATTAAGATAAAATAAAGAATACACCATCTGTATAAATTCAGGATGACGTTTTACAGAAAAAGTTACATAAAAATTGAGGAAGACGCTTTTAAGAAGAGTGAGCCGGAGCCCTCCATGGACACTTCCCCAGCTCCAATGGGAACGGACAGGCCCATTTTCTCAAGAGGGAGCTCCAGCTGTCTACACGGCGGACGTTACTTGTGAGTGACCATGGAGGTTTCCAGGAGTCATGTGCGCCAGCAAACGAGCCCCAGAGTCCGGCTGCAGACAACACCGAGTCCATCCACGCAGACAAAAGCTAGAGGAGACACAGCTGTCCTGTCCTCGGAGTGTATGCACAGTCAACACACTGTTGACAGTGGGGGGAACGGGTTCTGCTTGCTAACAACTAACTTCTGATGCTGATGTGATATGTAGCCTTTGATGTGACCCTGGGGGAGAGAGACGGCCGGGGTCACAACAAGCCTGTTGGCTTACCCCTCCTCAGCCCCAGGTGTCAGCGGTCTGCTCCAAAGACAACGGAGAAATGCAGAGACGCTGCACAACAGGGACGTACAGACAATGTCCACCCACCCGCGGCCCCTCAAAGCCCGGTCACTTCCCGGGATAACAGGAGTTCTAACAAACACCAACGGCTTTCCAGCCACTACATGAGATTCTCCGGCTCCAGACCCGGCCGGCTGGGGAGGGCGTCTCACCATGTAGATCAGGTTGGCCAGGATGCACTGGACCTCATCAATGTCCACGTCTTCCACCTGCATGAACTTCAAGGCGACCAGGAAGGCATCTAGAGACAACTGGTGTGTTCTGAGCAGCAGATACCTGGGGGGGGCAAGCACAGGGCCACATGGGTTACTGACGGGACTCAAGCACTCCGAAGGCGAGAAGGCATCCCGAGTCAGGAGGGAAAACAGGACCCTGTGTCTCCATCTCCCCATATTCATCTCAGAGTCCAAGAAGCACGTGATCCCACATTCTGACGTCTCTGTGATCAGGACACCCCTTACCACGAACCGTGCCCTATGGATTCGAGGACGCGTGGCCCTCACGATTCTGGACATACTACCCACAGCTGGGGAAAGGGACGGATGCAGAATTCAACTTTCTGACAAACAGGAGTGGCGGGGCTGGCTTAGTTGGTTATGAATGAAGGACAGAGCACCTGTCCCACTCGCGGGACAGAACGCAGGACACCTGACGGAGGTGTGCCCACGTGCCCGCGAGGTGCTGGGGTGCGTGGAGCTGGCGGCCGTGGGCGGCCTGGAGGTCTGAGTGCATCCGCACAAGCTCAAGGCAGTGCTGGGGCCTCGTCCACACTGGCACACACTCCCGTCTCGGGAGGTCATCGCCCTTCACAGTGTGGGGGCTGAGTCACACTGAGAACTTAAACTTACTAATAAAGGAAACACTTAGCTCACACTTTCTTGAAAAGATTCCTGTAGGTGATGATCTTCAGCTTTTCAAGGATAAGGAAAATGCCACAGCGAATAAAGAAGGTCTCGTGCTTCGTCAAGGCCTCATTCAAGAGCAGAAGGTTGCCTTCGCTGGGTGTGGGGAGAAATGTGCATGCACAGTCAGGAAAACCAAGGCCCAGGACCAGCCCTCGCACAACACGTGTGAGACTTTTGATGATTAACTCCGCGTCTGAAAGCCCCAAATGGAAAAGGACACGGTACCTGACGGCTTTGGTCACTTCGGCAAACTGCATGAGATGATACTTCCTCAACAGCTCGATGGTCGGCATGTGACCCTGAGACAGATTGCCCATTTCCCAGAGTAAGAGTCTTTCATTTTTAACAGAATTATAAAATCCCTATCAAGAAGTCACATCTTAAAAACCTGCAACCTGTTTCTTCAGAAGCAGCTGACAAACCAACGTGGGTCTGGCAGCCAGAGCCCCAGGGACACCTGGCCCAGCCCCTCACACCCTCGCAGCTCATATCCAAGGGGGAAGACGTGGCGGAAGACAGGCCGGTGTAAGGGCTGGGAACTCGAAAATGCCTTCCAGAAGAATCGGCTGAGCCATTTACAACTGGTTGTTTCTGGGAAGCAGGCTCATACGTGGGGAGAAAGGTACGACTTGTTGCTTTTCCCTTACAAGCTACCCTGAGCTATTCAAGTTTGAGCCATGTGTACTGTTCGGATAATTTTTTAAAAATTTTTAAGTAGGAGGAAAGGAAGCTCTATCACTTTGAGTAAGTTTTAGTCAATTAACTTGCTAGTTACTTGTCATTTCTTTTCAAGTATCAAATTAACTTTGGGTGACTAAATAAGATACCTAAAGAGAGGCTGGCACATTTCTCTTCCTTGCTTAATCCATCGCTATTAATTTACGTTCTTAGGAGCAATAAAAATAACATACATTTATTTTCTTACATACGTCGCACTTCTGAGGCAGATACTTTTAAGAGAAAGCGTCAGCCATGGAGATAAATGGTTCCAGCCACACACCAAGCAGCTTACCCTCCACTCTCCATTTCTGGGGTGTGTTCACACGCAGGTCAGACTACGTAGCTACGCGACACCTGCTACATTTTTAAAACTCTATCAACCTCTTCACTGAGCACTGAGACCTCAAAGAGCGGAGTAGAATCACTTACCAGCAGCATTTTTACTGGCAGCAAATATATCAGAATCATCCTCTTGTTCTTCTGACTCGAGCGGTGGCAGTGCTCGAAGGCAAAGGACAGGTACTCCTCCGCTGTAGACACAAGTCACACCGCCCACGCTCACCACGGCCCCCGCCCGCACCGCGTCCCACCCCTGCACCCCCTGAAACGCTGCTGTCTTGGGAACCATCAATTCCTACCGCTAACAGTGATCAATCATTTCTCGCTGTATTGCTGTATTGGGTATTCAAATGAGTCTGGAGGAAAAACATCAACACCAAACTTGAGAAACTTCAAAAGAATATAACTTAAAAGTTTCTACTCTTGGGCTTTCTATTCTAAGGAAAAAAAAAAGACGGGAGAACCACGGAGGACAGCCCTTGTTCAAGAGCCGTGGGTCTATTCAAACTTCTGTGAAGGAGAACGAGTTTGGTGGGCACAAGCCCGCCGGAGAGAAACCAGGGCACGCCCCCCGCAGCCGGTCACTTCGGCCGGCCGAGAATCCCCGGCCCAAACACACGGAAAGCGAAGCCGTTCCAGGCCCGGTCCTCACGTGCACACAGCTGTTGAGGAGCGGGTTTACAGAGTCTGGTCCGAGTACGGCCGAGGAGACCGTAAAGAACAACCGCTGTCAGCTAATCACAAAGCTGAAAAGAAAAAGCCTGGCTTCGTGTTCTTGAGAAGCCCGCACAGACGCTCCCCGCGCCAAGGTTTCCGAGAGCGCTGCCCGCACGAGCAGGGCCCGAGCACCTCGCCGCGCAGCAACCCTCCGTGCTGGCGGCCCCTGGCGTGTCTAACACAGACGCGGTGGGCTGCCTGGGCTCCCTGTCCCGGATCCTGGGCCGCCCCGAAGGCACATGCCAGAGAAGAACAGTGGTGCCGAATCACCCCCACGAGAAAGTCGCCCGCGGTAACTGCGACTCCGGCAGGAGTTCGAGAGACACGGCCCAGGCCTTCCCGCGCTCAACCGACCTCAGCATCAGCAACAAACGCGCACACGCAGGACAGGGGCCCCACCCGCTTGCCACCTACATGCTGCTAAGAGGCAGTGAGCGTTCTTGGACGTTGCTCAGGATCCAGGGTCTCTAAAACACGGGCAAGAAAGACTAAGGACCAACCTTGCTTGAAGTCGCTGTCGAACATGGCCTTGCGCCCGACGTAGTACCTGAACGTCACCCTCTGGGCAGTGCTGTAGTCCTCTTTCAGGTTCGAGCTGTCGATGGCTCTGATGAGGGGCTTGCACAGGTGTAGCTTGTTGATCTGGAACAAGCCCTTCCAAGTATTACGCAACAAAACGAGCAGGACGAACAAAAGCTTCCGCTTTACCAAGTATTTGCCTTTTTTTTTTAATTAATTAATTTATTTATTTATTAGAGAACAAGCAAGAGAGAAACAGCATGAGAGGGAGGAGGGTCAGAGGGAGAAGCAGGCTCCCCGCCGAGCCAGGAGCCCGATGCGGGACTCGATCCCAGGATCCTGGGATCATGACCTGAGCCGAAGGCAGTCGCTCAACCGACTGAGCCACCCAGGCGCCCCTATTTGCCTCCTTAAAGTGGGAATTACAAAGCCAATTACATCACCAAAACTGATTAATAAGTGTCCGTAAGAAACACTAAAACACACGCTGCGTGGTGCAGATGACACCCAGAGGGCCAGGCACCAGCTGCTGGTGCCCCATGGGGCCGCCCCTCGCTGGACAACCTCGTGCAGCAGGAAGGACCTCCTGACCCACCCACCCGCCACCTGCTCCGTAGCTAATTGTTAACAGCGGCGGGTGAAGGCCTGGGGTCATACCCCTCACGTGAAAGCCCACCCGCTCAGGGCACTGGCGCCTTGCTTTCCCCAGGAGATGCAGGGCTCCCCTCCTCGGGTGGAGGCTGAAACAGGACAGTCCCTGCACCTAGCAGGAGCTCCACAGACTCGACTGGATACGGCCAGGTGAGGATCACCTCCCGGCGATGGCAGGGAGGCCGGCACAGAGATGGCATCCAGGGAGACAGGGAGAAGGAAAAGGCCCACAGAGTATTTAAGGCGCCCATGTGGAATCACACCTTAAAGTAGATCTTGAATAGCTGGTTCACCAGGAACAGCATCCCCCACTTCTTAGAGTCCTCGATGCCGGCCCGGCTACGGGAAAACAGTTCTTTTTAAGTTACCCAGGAAATCAGTGTTTATAAATCACACACACACACAAATCTGCCTAAACAAAATTAATACCTTGAGATAAAACCCCACAGCTCAAGCCGTGCCCATGAAATAAGCAGCCCGAGCAGAGGTCGAACCACCAGCCACAACAGACGACCCCAGTACGCGTGTGGGCCGCCTCTGACTGCCTCATCGGCAACACGTCTATTATTTTCAATGGACGTGTGCTCGCTCATCCGGAGGGCAAGACGGACTCGGAAATACACGACAACGTGGAACAAGACGCAGTGCACGCGGCCACCAACGGGAGACTGGAACCGTGGTGTGGGTCCGCCTGGGAAGGGGACGGCGTGATGACAATGTCCTCGGCCTCGGGAGGGGTTGGGTCACACACGCACACACACTTGTCAAAATACAGTCAAGATCCGTGTGAATCACTGCCAGTAAGTTTTACCTCAAACTATAAAGGAGAGTGTGGCACTTAGGGAAGTCTCTGACCGACGCATAACCTTTAGAAGAAAAAAAACTGCTAGATGCACAGAAGGAAAGACGCGTGACCAGACAGGATACGGCATGTACAGTAAACGCCAACGGGGCACGTGGGGAGTCTACAGTGTCCCCTGTGCAATTCTGTCCACGCGGTCAGACGCTCGGGGATCTTCACGACAGTGCTGAAACACAACGCACAGTGGAGCCTGCCGCGTATCTGCGCCCTGCGCTGGTTCTTCTCTGGTGCAGCTTGCACGCCCACCAACGGGGCACCGGAGAGGGGGGCCTGCAGCAGGCCGCCTGCACACTCGAAATCCCAGGGCATGGGGTCAAAGCATATGAAATAAACACGCCGGTATGGAACCACAGGCTGTTCACAAGCCAGGGACAAAGAAACCCTCCCAAGACCATCCCTAAGATCCCTCCCATATAGGAATATTCAGTGTAGCACCGCGGTCAGCGTTTAAAAACAAAGTCTGTTCTGTGATAGCGGCCAGCCCCTCTAGGACTCTTGTCGCTCACTGGCGCCGTGACCGCAAATCAACACGGGGATGATGAACACTGCCTGCCTCGGAGGGTAGAAAACAAACCAAACACTCTAATACTGGTGACACTCAGGAAGCAACCCCCGAGGGGTCTCTCTGAGGCCCAGCCCGCTGCAGTCCCCCCGCACGCTCAGCACGCTGCTGGGTGTGAAGTGCGGCCCGCCGTGGTTTTCATTTGCGCTTCCTTTCTGACTAAGGATGTTGAGCACCTGTTTGTGGGTTTACTGGCCATTTGTCTATCTTCTTTGCAGAAATGTCTATCCAGGGGCTTTGCCCACATAAATCGTATTACTTATCTTCATACATTCTGGACACAGGTTACTGTCAGCTACGTTATTTGCGAATATCTTCCCCATTCTATGGTTGTTTTTCACTTGTTGGATGGCATCCTTTGAAACACAAAGTTTTTAATTTTGATGAAGTCTGCTTTATCTATTTTTTCTTAGGTTATTGTGTTTTGGGTGTCGCATCAAGAAAGCCAGTTATCCCACGATAAACACGTACAGCTCAAGAGGGGAACACAGGGCACCCGTGTCCGTGGCAGGACACGCGTCTAACATACGTGAGCCTGGCGTCTCAAAGGAGACAGAATGCGGACAAAAGGGAGTGGGAGAAAGGATGTGGCAATCACCCTTGGAAGGCTCTAACAAAACACATCAGCGCAGAGATCCGAGACGCTGGACGGACCCTAACAAAGGGGAGTACGGAGTCACACGGCGGGATACACAGTGAGGAGGCGGCGCGGCCAGAGCGCCAGCAGAAAAAGCGGTCTATCTAGAATTCTCCACCTAGCACACAAAAAGGAAGACAAAGTAAAGACGGTTGGAGAATTGAGCGTCCGCAGACCTGCACTCAGCACAAGCCGCTGGGCGCGTTCCCAGCGGACAGGGCTTGGACCAGGTGCAAAAGGGACGCAGGGGCAGGAGGAAAGCGCTCGACAGACACCATGCCAGGCAAACCTCACACACCACCTTCTCTCTCTCTCACATCCTGGACACAGCAGCGGACTAGCTAAGCAAATCGGAATGACGACCATGGGGTCCGCGCACACGCGGGAGGAACACAAGCGTCACCCGCCAGCGCGGCCACCTCCACGCCGTACTCACGTGTCACTGGCGCAGACGCGGAAGCAGCTCATCAGCAGCTCGGCTGCCTTTTCCAGCATGTCCCCGACTTTGCTCTTCCCTTTCTTTACCAACTGCTGGTCTGCCTGATAGAACACAAACAGTCACGTTTAATTTCCTCTCAATTCCTGAGTGGGAAAGAAACCTCCGCTGCTGCTAGAAGCAAAAATGGCTGCAACCGAGGGTCAGAGTCCCGAGCAGCTCTGGTGAAATCTTCTAGTTGATGTTAGCATTGTTAAAAATTGAGAAATCGGTAGCGTAGCCTGACTCTTACACAAATCAACTCTTCAACCAATTCCAGCTAGTGAGTTGGCCTGTTCTCTAAGTCTGGGGCACGGGGCCCTGCACCCCTCCAGGAGCCTTTCCTTATGGGCTCACGCTCTGCCCCCGCCTACAGCCAGTCAAAACCCCAAAACACACACTTCCGACAGACACCGAAGTCATCTCCAGGTTTGACTCTCCCCTTGTTCCTGGGACCTGCTGGCTCCCGCTCACACCGCCTAACACAGGTGCCCAAAGTACGGTCTATGAAACCCTGGGAGCCTTCAAAACACTTGCACATGATCCATGCGGTCAGAACTATCTCCATGACAACACCAACGGCCAGTATTTGTCCCCTTATTGTACCGTCACTTGCACTGACAATGCGAGCACTGTGGTAGGTGAAAACGTGGGGGCCTCTCCAGCGACACCAAACTGCAGCAGCAACACGATGTCCCTAACATCACCCCGCACAGTCCTGCAGTCAAACACTAACACCAAGGTCACTTCAAACTGTCCCTGACGACACAGTAAATCCTAAGTCTTGGCTCTTGAATATACAAATATTTAACATTCTTTGTGATGAAATGACAGTATGGTTTTCTCCAGGAAAAGCGCTTGGGAAGCTGCTGGAGTTGCCAGCTAGCGTGCGGAACCAGCGACTGACAGACGAGCAAGGCGGTCCAGGCGAGGGTAGCCGAAGGACCGTTTGCTTAAGTGAAACACAACCAGTCAATTCCAAGCAAACACCTGACAGTATTTGTGGCCAATGACATCTGTGCTTTCAAAAAAAAAAAAATCTGAATTTTGGGTAACTTGTCATCAACCACCACGAACGTGGCAGCATTTCATTACTCCAAAACTTTACAGATAAGGTCACTGGGGACATTAACAAATGGGAGTTTTTTTGGTTTGGGGTTTTCTTTTACACAATGAAACACATCCACATTTGGAACATCTCTGTGACTCGGTGAACCAGAACTTTCCAAATGATCAACGTCTGATGCTACAAGATCACACGAGAGCACACAGTCCACCCAGAGACCAGGACACCCAGCAGATTCCAATACAACAGCAAAAAAAGCTCAACGCTAAGCTTCGGAGGACACACCGTAACAACCCCTTGGAGCTTTGGTAATAGAGGAAAAGAGTATCCACAATCATCTGAAAGGCTATTAAAATACTCCTCTCCTTTCCATCTACACCTGGGTGAGGCCAGACCGTCTTCATATATTCAAGCCGCAACACCATGCCTGCAGAAGGACACGGGGTCAGGCGGCTTCTGTAAGATTAAAATAAAAATCCAGCACTCTTCTCAGCACATTTTGTTCATTTGGAAAATATAGGTATTTTTCACTTAAAACGTCACTTATGTTACCACATAAAAGGCTTGTCATTTTAGAGGAATATTTTTTTAAATCCCAGTTAAAAATTTTTAATATGGTAAATACAAACAGATATATAAACAAAGCTCTTTGGAGCCTAATTTGCGTTTAAGTTATATTTTTTGGTTCTAGAAATTTCTATCACAGTTCTTCTTTACATCTTCTATTTCTTTGCTGAGACCGTCTATGTTTTCATTTGTTTCAAGCGTGTTCGTGACTTTTCCTGAGACTTATTTAGGATGGCCGGGGTACGAGCAAGTCAAGGAATTCCAACATCCGGTGTTTGTGGATCGTCTCTCTTCACAGGCTGAGATTCTCCGTAAGTGATATTTGGGGTATGAGGTCACGTGGACCCTGTTTATCTCGCATCAGCAGCGGACGCCATGCTAGTGGGGAGCTGCCGCTGGCTTGGCTGGGTCCGGCTCCCCGAGGGCTTTGCTGAAGCGCTGGGGACTGGCACAGTTTGGGGGGCTGCGGCAGGGACTGCTGAAGAAGTCTGTCCAGAACCCCCCTCCTGCTTTCCTTGGGGCCTCTTCATCTCTGCCTGTCGGTCTTCCTGGATCTGAGGCTCCTCTGGGACCCAGTCCAGGATAGGAAGCAAGAAGCAAATGCAGGAGACCCACCACTTGCTGGTCTGCAAGTCGTGCTGGCTTCCGAATTCTCAGCAGGATGGAAAGGAAAACTGTACCTACCCCATCTTGTTCAGAATGGGAAGTTATAGTTTTTAGAGCCATAAAGGTGTGTTAGTTCAGAACTGCCGCTCCAGAACTGCCTTACGCTGACCCCCAAGGGCAAACCAACCCCCTACACCAGAGAGACCCCTAGCTGCTGCCCCCATCTACATCAGGGTGGGATTCCTCAAGACGGGGGACAGCCACATCTTCACAGCAGAGGAGAACGCAGACCTGCTCGTGTTACTGCCTCGCCCCTTTAAAAAAATCTGCCATCTGCCATAACGGGTTAACACACACAGAGAACCTCCGTCTACACCCACGGCAGGAAAACCCACCAACCCAGACAGTCCAGCTACCTCCCGCCCTTCCGCTCGCTACACCAGGTACGTGCTAACCCACATCCTAACCCTCAAAACTTCTGGAAGAATGACATGAAATTAAGCAAAAGATAGAAACTGAGATTGAGTTTTAAAAGAACAGTGACGAGAACTAAACTTACGTTATTGGCGAAGACTCGAAGGTCGAGTGCTACGGCATACATGACGGGCAGAGCCCTGCGGGGCAGGAAAGCAAGCACGTTGGAAGAGGCCACGAGGTCCGAGATTCCGTTCCCGACACCCAGAGCTACCTCCGTCCGCGGGGGCCACCACCCCTCCAGGAACCCGAGGCTCCTGCCGCCTTCTCATCCACCGTCAGGGCAGGCTGCGGCGCCAGGGCTTCCTGACAGCACAGGCACTGGAGTGCCCCTCACCCGCTGCCCCGGACTCCCCAGAAGCCTAGATCCCGCTGCGTCCAGGGTCCTCAGCCCCAGACAGCACCTCCTCACGCTATTCAGGACCTTCTCCTTCCCTTCAACCACTCTCTAAGCAGCTCCGTTAAAGCAAGATGTGGTTTAGTAAGACCTTCTAACAGGACCCAGAAAACGTAATGGACAAAATGTCGTAAAAGGATTTTTTTTTAAATTTAGCTGGTGGAAATACTTTTATGTGTTAAGACAAGTCTTCACTTAAAGAGGGTATTTGATTTTGTTTTTTCAGTAAAAGGTATTTGCAAGCCTTCAGTTATTTTAGTAAACACAAAATTTCAGTATTTACCTACAGTTAATAAATCATAAAATTAAGAATCAGTTTGTCAAGGAACTTAAAATAACCCAATTACCACTTATTCACTCTAGTCACTCCACATGAACTGCAGCTGACCTGCTCTTTTATCCAAATTAAAATCAAAATTCAGTTCAGAATTGACAAATAACAAACATTCTGGGGTATGGAAGGTCTGAAATAAAAACAAGGCTTTATGTTTATGTGAACACACTGCAAACAATCTGGCTGGTCCGCCACTTAAAGTTTACACTGACCATTAAAACTCCACTATCCGTGTTGATATTATCCTAGGTCAACATGTAACATTAAATATCCATACAGAAAACACAACACATATTTACTTAAAGTTTTAAAAAGCTTCTGCTAAAAAAGAAAAAAGAAAAAAACCCAAAAACTAAACCCTGCCATTTGCCAGTTTCCAGTTATTTCTGTTCATACTTACCAGTTTTCTTCTTTGTGGGCTTGAAATGCACGCAGGAACGATGTACTACATTAAGGAACAACGTACAAAATCTAAGGCAAGGCTAGAAGTGATAAGAGTAAGAAATATGAAGTATTCTCAATTTTAGGTTTAGAAGATTATATATCATAGGGGCAAGTTCTTGAAGGAAAAATGTACAAATTACAAATATCTGAATATCATTAGGTATTAGTACAGTAAATATATTTGCTTTACACATACATTCCCCAAAGAGACTATTGTAAGATTTTCTTAATTGGGAACCTCAAACATTTTATTTGGTTTTTCTGAACCCAGATAATCACATATATAATAGGCTTTAGAATCTGTAGTATAAAGTTTATTTCCTTGATTACAGAATTCTTAAATTCAAAGGAGACTAAGCTAGTTAGTGGCCAACTTTCTCTTTTGTATACTTAAACAAGAAAGTTAAAAAATAAGCAAACTAAAAATCCAGAGTTACACATAAATACTAGAACACTCACTGACAGAAGCCTTAGCTAGGAGATAGCACTTAAATGACTTAAATCAGACACTGGCTGGCTGAAGGTCTCAGTGGCCACACTTCAGTGACGACATGTGGAGTCCACTCTTGTCCATCTATGCCTGGAATCTGGCGTTCTCCTATTTTGCCAAAGGGACTAACTAGTCCCTGTAGCTCTACTTAATGCTTTAAAGGAAATACCACTGTTCACAACAGAATTAAGTAAAACCCTTAACCATCACCCGTGTTCCCCCTCATTGTACGGGTAACTGGACGACAGTCTTAAGGCCCAGAATACATCTAAGCACCTGAATGAAATAGCTAAACGAGTTTCTCTTCCCAAAGTTAGTTTCAATTCCTTTCTAGTTAAAGGTATGAATGAAAGTGGCCTGATGTCTCCAGATCTTAAATCATAACGCAAACGACAAAAGATATTGGACGATGACAGTCTGGCATTTGTACGCCTCGATGAAGTCGTGGTTCCCCACCGCGTAAGTGCATCTGTGAAGAAAACCTCACAGGCTGAGGACACAGGCAGCAGGACCTGCAATCGAGCCCCACGTGCCCCACCCCTCACTTCCATCCAGAACGCTTGAGCGTGCCGCTTATCCTGCTACAGGCTACAGGAACTAGAAGGAGGACAAGAAACACACCGGTGACTTTGAACTGAAACAGGCTGGGGGAGAGGAAACCCACATGCTGTTCTGGGACGCTGCTCTCTGGCCCCGGGAGGAGATCCTACTTGCAGCACGTTCTCAGTGCCAGGCACTGGTCACGGCCGAGCACGGCCCTCCCGCTGCACCTACAGACAGGAGATGGCAGGGAGCCTCACACTACCAGGAGCCCAGTGGCGCCCCGACTTCTCCAGAGAAGGAAGCCCTGGAGGGGCACAGGCAGGAGGGCGAGCCAATGCCTCGTGCTTCAGGACATCCGGCTTTGCCCGGCCCCACCCTCCAAAGGGCAAACAGCAGACATGAGATGTCCCCGAAGAGCAAGTCTTTCGTGCACTTTCTGCAGCTCTAGCCCCATTGCCGGCAAGGCGAAGACGTGAAGCACAGGCCTATTTCCACGGAAACAGACGGCCGTGGTGAGCCGTGCGCCCCTCAACACACAACTGCCACGCGGCCCACGCGAGCAGTGCCTCTACCACATTTAAGAGCATACGTGCGCTTTCAAATGAAGAAACGTTCATTAAAAATTTAAAGTATCGGGGCGCCTGGGTGGCTCAGTTGAGCGTCTGCCTTCGGCTCGGGTCATGATCCCGGGGTCCTGGGATCGAGCCCCACATCGGGCTCCCTGCTCCGAGGGAAGCCTGCTTCTCCCTCTGCCCCTCCCCCGCTTGTGTGCTCTCTTTCTCTATCAAATAAATAAATAAGATCTTTAAAAAAAATTTAAAGGATTTTAAGCTTCAGAAAATTTTCATAGGCTTTAACAAAGTGAAATTACAAATGCACATTTCTTAAAACAAGATGAAATCAGAGAGGGAGGTAAACCATAAGAGACTTTTAATCACAGGAAACAGACTGAGGGTTGCTGGAGGGGAGGTGGGGGGTTGGGGTAACTGGGGGATGGGCATGAAGGAGGGCCCATTGATATAAGGAGCACTGGGTGTGATGCGCAACTGATGAATCACTGAGCTCTACCTCTGAAGACTAATAACACAGTATATGTTAATTAAATTGAATTTAAATTTAAAAAGTACCAAAAAACCCTCCAAAAAACAAATACACTTTCTTTTCAAAGCAAATTATCCATCGTTTCAAGTCTAAAATGATGTGTTTTTTAAGATTTTATTTATTTATTTATTTTAGAGAAAGAGTGTATGCGTGTGAGGGGGGGGAGGGAGCAGACTCTCCACTGAGGGCAGAGCCTGCCTTGGGGCTTTGATCTCATGATCTGAGCCAAAACCAAGAGTCAGAGGCTCAACCGACTGCGCCACCCGGGTGCCTCTCAAGCCTAAGATGATGTTAAATAAAATCCCTAGTCGATTCAGCAATTTCCAGATTTGCTTTATTTTTCTTCCTCCCCAGGGTTACCTTAAATGAGCAGCAAACATTTCGTCATAAGGGGGTTCCAAAACCTGCTGACACTTCTCTTCTGGGGAGGCCATCTAAATGATAAGAGGAAAAAGGACAAAAATAAAATTAAAAGGCAGCAAAAGAATGCAATGTGCAGAAAGACACTGAGACGAACCTGTTTCAAAAGAATGCACACTTTACAGTTAGGGGAAGGGCGGGCACCTGGCACTTGTGATCTCACACATACGTGTCGTGGCCAGTGACAGGGTGACGGGGCACCAAACACACCTGCCGTGCCTACCACAGTCCAAGGAATACTCCGGGCACTTTCGTGTGGACCTTAGTATTCAGCAGCCAGTCAGTGAAGAAGTGTTTATGAAGCAGCTACTGTGTGCTCCATAAGGAAGGCGGCGTGAGTGAGAGGTGATGCCACGTTAGGAATCCCCCCTCCTCACCTCCTGGTGACAGAGCCACCTGCTCTACGTCCTGGGCTAGGCTAGCTGACATTTACTTCCAACGCCCTCCTCCCTCTCCATGGCCAGATTTTAGACCATATGAGCGTCACGGGGTCACACAGAACAGAGAATTAAAGAAGTCTGTGAGTCCCTGATGCACTAATACGTATGCATATCCATGTGCATGAGTGTGGGAAGGAAAAGGACAGCAGCAGGAAAATCCCCATCCTCCGTCCCTGGTGAAATAACTAAGGCAGGGCGCCTGGGTGGCTCAGTTGGTTAAGCGACTGCCTTCAGCTCGGGTCATGATCCCAGAGTCCTGGGATCGAGTCCCGTGTCGGGCTCCCGGCTCAGCGGGGAGCCTGCTTCTCCCTCTGACCCTCTCCCCTCTCATGCTGTTTGTCTCTCTCTCTCAAATAAATAAATAAAATCTTTAAAAAAAAAAAAAAGAAATAACTAAGGCAGACAACGGCCACCAGCGAATGGAATGCTACCTCAGTAGGTCAACGGGGATTGGCCTTGGATCACAGAGGGATGGCAGACCCACCCACGGTGGTACAAGGCTGAGGAGTGTCTGGCCAGCGAGCCCCTTAGAGCAATGGTTTTCAACACTGTCACACAGGACAGCCACCCAGGGAACCCTACCTTTTAAAAAGAGCCTGCTTCTACTCCACAAACCGGTTTATTTGGTCTAAGGTGCAGCCTATACTCTGCCCAATATGATCTCTAATATACAGAGCTCCTATTTCTTTCAAAAGAAAAACTGCCCCAACAGGACCACATTCCAGTTTCACAAAGGGAACCAATGAGCAAATGGGACTTCCCCAAATGCCAAGAATACTTCCTACAGAAGACAGGGCTTGCATATCATTTATCTGCTAAATCAAGGACACTTATGGTTTAGAGCAGGGTTTGGCAAATGCTTTCCATAAAAGGCCAGATGGTAAACACCCCCGCCTTTGCAGGCTATAGATCTCTGTTGACCCAGCCAACTATGCGTCCGTGGCATGGACAGCACAGGAATGAGGAGACATGGCTCAGCCCCACTAAGCTTTACTTATAACAGGACACGTTTGTGGGCTTTGGGGACAGACCGGCCTGGGCACAGCCTAGCCCACTGCCTGTCTGCTGGATGACCTTGGACGACCTTGCTCCACACTGCATGTCTCTGAGGCTCAGAGGGTCCCTTGGGAGTTATTACAGAGCATAAGATGCACACCTCAGCCTGGTATCAAACACACAGTGCTCGATAAATGAACTGCAATTATAGACATACAGTAAATGAACGTTAAAATTTTCAAAATTTTTCAAAAGAGCGGCAATGTTAGTTTCCATCTGATTCAAACTCTCAGCTTCTCTTAGGGAGCACCTGCGGGTGCGGCTCCCTCGCCCACCTGGAGCCGTGGGTTGGCGACATGAGGATGCTTGAAAGACACCAGCTCCGCACAGGATGCCCCATCTCTGCTGTCGATGGCTTCATAGACCTGAAACATTTGAAAAGAGATAAGCGGAGTAGAAAACAAACCGTTTTGTCCTCACAGAACCTAAACGTGTTGTACGCCTCGAAAATCCATCCTCCTGATTCGGGAGGAGCCACAGCAACGACAGAACACACCGGGCTCTTGGCAGCAGCAAACGAGAGCAACGTTTCAAAATGAGATCTTTCGGCGGCAAAGAAACACGTGATTTACTGTCAGAAACAGCAAACAAGCAGGGTAAGCCAGTGGTGATTAAGGAAGGCACGTTATTTTAGTTTTATTCAGTCGTTCAGACACTTGAGAATTCACTTAGAAAGCTTATGGGGAGAAAAAGGGCTTAAAAGCCACATTCCACTCAACCTACACATCAACTGAAACAGGGAACGGCAAAGCTAAGCAGACGGTGACACAGGGGTAGATGGATCCAGCGGTGATGATGCGCCAGCGTCCACAATGTACTTACTGTTAAGCAAAAACAAACACACACACACAAAACCCAAAACAAAACAAAAAGACAAACGCAAAGTCACAGGAAAGTGCCTAACTCAATCTGGAAGGAAAAGAAAAACTGCGTATGACATGGGAGCACAGGAAGAAGTGCCTGCCCCTGGGCCCTTGGGGTGCAGGCTGGGCCTTCAGGAGGCTTTTACAGATTTCCGTCCTGGGGGCCTGTGCTGAGGCAGACCTCTGTAACCAGAAAACCAAACGAGGTCTGAAGATTTTATTTACCCAACAAGCACTTAGAAATCCGAACGGGCAGAGGAAGACAAGCATAGAGAAAGCTGCACACACAGCATGGTTCATCTACGGTGGGGTTAGCTCTGTCCATTCGATGCCCACACGAGACGCGGTCAGGGACGACGTGCAGTTGGACTGCACACCCGCGGCAGGCGCTCACATCACTTCCCGTCGCGAGACGCACCGCCAGAAGCGGTAAGCGTGGCCGGGGAGGCCGGACTAGCCACGACCAACCACAGAAAGCGACTGGAGCTCCCCCACGTTGCAGGCGAGAAGTGGCTGGATCGGCCTGCGAGGGAGGGCACGCACCTGCTCTCCCCCCAATGCAGCAACCCTACCCCCAGGCAAAACGGATCCAGCTCCTGGACTCTCAACACCACTTAGGGCATCGGCTGGGAAAGTTTACACCTAAGACAACTAATGTGATCAAGAATATGGCACTCAACTGCCCAGCAAAACCACAGAAGGCAGCAATCCCACGTCTACGGTCTACCTTACAACAAGAAACAAAAGATATTTGTGTAGGGTTGTGGGAGGTATTATGAATAATCACAAAGTACTGGTCCCATCGCCGCCCTTACCTCAAGGAAGCTGATGAAGGCGGCCAAAACTGTCACAGCAGGTGCCGAGGAGAAGAGACGACAACAGACCGCGGACAAATCTCAAAGAACTAATACACAGCTCAGGGGACACTGGGGCCACAGCCACCCAGTCACCTGTTTTAGTGGCTGTTAGTACGCCATGGCCTTGCCACGTAAGCAGCCCCCAGTGGACCGTGCAGGGGCACTCCAGGGGAGCCCGGTGGCAACATTCCCGTGGTGTCCCTAGGGCCTGGTCCACAGACTGCAGACCTCATCAGGTGCAGCTGGCTCTCGGCACACCCAGAAAAAAGTTCTCTTTCCTGGCTACTGCTGGTCACCTCGTGACCTCCTGGCTCTAAGGCGGTAGATGGAGGTTGCAGGGAGGGGGGAACTCATCTACTCTTATAACTTGTAATTTTTTTTTTAAAGTCATGTCTACACCCAACATGGGGCTTGAACTCACAACCTCGAGATCAAGAGTTGCACACTCCACCAACTGAGCCGGCCAGGTGCCCCCAGAACACATAATTTCTTAAATTTACAGGGGCACCTGGGTGGCTCAGTCGGTGGAGCGTCTGCCTTCGGCTCAGGTCATGGTCTCAGGGTCCTGGGATCGAGCCCCGCATCGGGCTCCCTGCTCAGCGGGGGAGTCTGCTTCTCCCTCTGCCCCCCTCCCCCAGCTTGTGCTCCCGCTCTGTCAAATAAATAAAATCTTTTTTAAAAATGTTTTAAAAAATACATTTACTAGCTCCATCTGCTAACAAGGCCTTGAAGTACTGACCCCCCCTACGCCCTGCAGTGGCAATGAACACACCAGCACTCAGATTCATTTCCCAAACTCCACGACCACTAAGAGGAACCAGAGCTCCCTGGAGAAAGGACTGGTCCAGTGCTGGGACAGGGGAAGAAATCCATGAGCTTGGCATGGACGTTACTGTGCCAGGAGGCAAAGCAGGGCTCAAGGAAGACCTGTCAAAAAGCCCCAGAAACCAGTCTGAAGGAGTTCTTAGTGGCCAAATTTGGGACAAGTTGAGCTTCAGAAAGAGTAAGAATAATCTTATTATTGGTTCTGGATTATAACTTGGCATTAACAACAATCTATGATACTTTTTAAAAAGGAGCACTGGGAAAAGCATTTTTAACAGATGAAGTAGTAGCTAACAAACAGAGTGAGAGAATCACCACTTGGCAAACACTCATGCAATAACCCACTTGGGAAAAGACCACGAATAAAAGCTGAAAGCACTTTGGAAAGGGTGTGGGGCAGAATGTTCACAGGCTCTCACAGTCCGTCCAACAGATTATGAATCAATAAGATGGGAAAAGGTCTCTGGACGCCGGAGTGGGCAGTTGGGAGCACGAATGCAAGCCTCCAGAGGCTACAGGACGTCTACACTAGCCAGGTTCGCCCAAACCTATTCACTAGAGTCAAGTAAAGGCAGATAGTGACACAGCCATGAGTCCACTGCCCTGGACATTTTTAAAAAGTTAATTGTCATAAAACAAATCCACTCCTGGAAACTGGCAGGAGGACTCTTCTAGATGAAAGACTAAAGAGCAAGACCACCATGTTTGGAGTGTGACCTGACTGGACCCTGCAGGTAACAAGGAGGCTCTGAACAGCACCGTGGGTGGATGTGGAGTCTGAATGCGCTCTCAGAAAACACTGACGCTCCATTTCTCGGCTGGGCTAAAGGCCCTGCAGCCAGATGGCAGCACAGCCTCAGGCCCATGGGAAGAGCATCGGGGGCAGCGACCTCCTTTCAGATGGTTCAGGGAAGAGAAGCACGCGTGCCCGGAGGGAAGGACACAGAAACGTGGTGCATCAGGTGAGGGTGTCCACATCTTCAATGTTCTCCTTTCAACTTTTCTGTAGGTTTGAAAATTTTCACGATAAAAATTTGGAGGAAAATTACAATTTTAAATGTAAATAGTTTTTAAAAAGTAACTTGCCATTTGAAATAAGAATTTGTAGAATGGACAGAAGAATGAAGTAAAGGACACCAAACAAAGAATACCAGCCCTCAAAGAAACTCCAGGAATACGGAGCAGCTCCAGCTGTGGGGAGAAGCACAGCTGCCCCGACTAGCAGGTCTGACCTAGACTTTTTACAACAGAGTGCTACAAATGCATTTTCTCCTCCTTACAATTTTCTTAATAACGTTTCCTTTTCTCTAGCTAACTCGGTAGTGAGAACATAATATAGAACACAACGCAAAAAACAAGTTGATTCACTGTTTATGTTATTGGTCAACAGCACGCTATCGGTTGTTTTTGGTGAGCCAAAAGTTATATATGTATTTTCAACTGCACGGGGGGGTCAGCACCCCTAACCCCCACGTTGTTCAAGGGTCAACTGTACACGCAAACTGATCTTGTTCTAAATACAATTTTTAAAAGTAGAATACTTGGAAAACTTTAACTCAACCTGTCCTCTCCAAACAGAAACGAAACTGGAGGCGTGTTGAGGTGCCGAACGCTGACATCCCAGCTACCGCCAACCATTAGGAAGGACAGCCCTCCTTGGGCCTCTCAAACTGATGTGCTGGCCCACAAGGCCCCGACCTCTAGCTCCTTCACTCGGGCCACTGTTCAGGGCTGTTTATTACTTTGAGAAACGAAGCAATGTCTTCCCCCCTTCCCTAACCCCAAGCAAAAAGCAGGCTTGCTCACCGCCTGCTACAAAACGGATGGATGCCCCAAATTCCAGGTTTCTCTCTTGGATGCAGGTACAGGCACCCCTCTGGGCCCACTGGTCCAAGGGAACCGGCAGGCTGACCCCACATTGCCAGCTGCGCTGAGCTGAGCTACAAGACCCTTGGTCTCTGACCCACGAATGCATGTGTTCTGCCTGCATCCAAGAAACCAACAAGAGAACTCAGAAACTTATGAGCAGAATAAAACCAAACTGCCAACCTGATAGCTACTAGGAAGCGATCACAAAGAAGGGAAACGAAAGACCTATGACTTGTCCACAGATAGCTACTGGCTGAGGATGCTGTGGAGTATGAAATACGGAATGTGTCCTAACTGAGAGGGTCACTGAGATTCAAAAAACAGTACACTTTGGAACCTGAGAAATAGGTAGGTTCTGACTAGGACAGGAAATGGTGCCTGAAACCTAGGCTAACAGAGGCAGTGAGCTTCATGTTAAGGGCACGGACTCTAAGGCCAGAACTCCTGGTCCGAATGTGCTACTAACTAGCCCAGCGGCCTTGGAAAACCACTGAACCTTCTCTGTAAAATGGGGCTTGCAACGGACCCGCCTCCCAGGACAAGTGGTAATAACGAGCCACTGTACATGAGAGTCGTTGGTTCTTAGTACGAGTTCAACAAGCACTAGTGGTTATTCCTCCCATCACCCCAACTACTTCATCAAATAAGACTCCTCTGAGAACGTAGGTGATGAGGGAGAAGGCAAACTGAGGACAAAGCAGAAGCTGACACCCCACAACCCCCCCACCCCCATGGGATATACCTGACATTCCTCAGGCACTCCTGGCTGCCCTAAAGGAAAAACAAATAGTTAACTTACAGAGATTACAATCCTGTTTCCTGCAGAAGAGATCTAGCTGACAGATCTCCTGAGGCCATGCAGTGTTACAGATCAGTCCTTTCCTAAATTTTGCAATCCAAATTGTTTCCAATGGGTTAAAAAGGCATCCTAAGGGAGAGTCCTTGGGAAGGGAAGAAGCCTACTGAGGCCATGTTCCCAGAAAAGTAAAGAAGGTCCATTACCAAATCCCCCCGACTCCCGGGAGGCATCCCACGCAGGACAGGTCAGAGGTTCCAGCTGTCAAAAGCGACCAGAGGAGTCCCTCAAATGAGAAACCACTATTGATCACCATTCTGCCTTCCCCTGAAGGCATTCCTGCCATAAAAGGCCCCGTAGGGCGGATGCCGGCGGGATGCCGATATCCCCTTGCCCATCACATCCTAGGCTACAGATGGGTGCTATCGAATGGACTAAAATACCCATGCCATGCAGTCCTAAGCCCTGAAAGCTGTGTTATCACCCTGCCACTTTTAACCCATGAAAAATACTAGAAAAGTTTTACAAGGGGAAATTACCCAATTTTATAATTTAAGTGGTTAGTAGAGGACATTGATTAGAAACTGTAAAAACTGAAATCCATCATGGTCTAAGTGACATTCCAACACATGTGGTCTTTACAGCCAACTTCCCTAGGAAGTTAGGTTTTAATTTCATTGGGTACTGGTTTCGGCCGGCTCTGAGTGGAGGTCCCATGGCCAGAAGCAGCTAGACCAGGGATGTGGAAGGAATCACCTTAGATCAATGAGGAGGAAATCTGAGGCGCCTGGGTGGCTCAGTTTTAAGCGTCTGCCTTCGGCTCAGGTCATGATCTCAGGGTCCTGGGATCAAGCCCCGCATCGGGCTTCCTGTTCATCGGGGAGCCTGCTTCTCCCTCTCACACTCCCCCTGCTTGTGTTCCCTCTCTCGTTGTCTCTCTCTCCGTCAAGTAAATAAATAAAATCTCTAAAAAAAAAAAGTTGGGGGAGGAAACCTCACACAGGAGTCTTAAGATTGGCAGCCATCCTGGTGACTTAGGTGGCCGTCCCATGCCCAAGACAGACAACTTCGTATAAGGACAGAAGTAAAGAGAGGGCATCAAGTTTCTGGGTCTTATTACCATCCCAGCCAGGGTACTAATTTCCAGCCAAAAAGCAGACTTTCTCCTCCCCGTAGAGTAGCCACAGGCTAAAAGAATGCAGCTTGAGCAATCAACATGAAAGTGTTCCAATAACACCACACTCCTTGAAGAGCCCCTGGAATGAGAGTAAAGGAAGAGAAGAGAAAGTACTCACCAAGTTTGCACCGTGGCTCAGAGTCCAGATGAAAACACTCGGAAGCCCCACGTTTGGGCACCAAACGATGCGGTTTTGGAATATAGGTGAGGTTTGGTGGGGTGGGGTCCGGAGCCGACGACCAAGAAAGAATTCTTGAGACGTCTCTGGTGCAAAATGGTGGTTTTAATAAAACACAGGTACAGGACCCATGGGCAGAAAAAGATGCTGCCCATAGTTGTGCAGGGTGGCTGATTATACACCTGGGAGTTGGGGGAGGTAAGGAAAAGGGAGGTTTCAAAAGGATTTTTGTATGTTAAAGACTCACAGGATACTGGAGGCCTTGCCATTGCCAAGTTAAGGTTGTTTTTTCCACCTAGCAAGGCATTACCATGAAGATAGTCGGGAGCTTCCTGGAGGAACATTACCCTCCCCCGCTTCAAGAATCTGTCAATGGGCTGCAGGTTTTAAGGGCATTTAATTGTATCTACATTCCCTTCTGGAAGCTAGGTTATTGATGATAGGAAACCTTTGTTCTTATAAATTGCTAAGACACTTGTAAACTGAGGGAGACTCATGTCTTGCAGGATTATAATCTCTATAAATTAACTATTTGTTTCTCCTTTAGGGCAGCCAGGAGTGCCTGAGGAATGTCAGGTATATCCCATGGGGGGGGGGGGTTGTGGGGTGTCAGCTTCTGCCTGTCCTCAGCTGGCCTTCTGTTCCCTCATCACCAGTCGTGCCAGACTATCTCCAAGTTGCCTCCTAAAGATCTTTACCTGGTTGTCAACAGACACCCCCAACTCAACATGTCCAAAACGCTGTCTGTAAACTTTCCCTCCAAATTTGCTCTGCTCATCTGTTGCCCTGGCTAGAAACCTGGGGCTCACTGTCCTCCCAGACCCTCAATCATACATTCTAAATCACCAATGGAATGCTTCCTTCAGACATTTAAAAATCCACTTCCCCTTTTCCCTATCAGCACGGTTCTAGTTCTGGGAATTAGCGCAGTTTAGTGGAAAGAATGCCAGTTTTGAGCTCAGAAACACCCATGTTTTAAGTATGGCTCTGGCGTTTACAGGCTGTCCGGGCGGAATTCCGTGGAGACGCACCTCCCGAAGGCTATTAACTGCCAGAAGGGGACCCGAGGCGTGTCCCAGGTGATGGCTGGACTAGCGCTCGCAGCCGCACCGCCTGCCGCCTCCACCTCCTCCCAGCGTCTGTCCCGAGGCGCGGCTGACGGGCCTCCCGGGCCCGCTCGGACCCCTCCGCACGTCCCCTCTTGAGGCCAACGCCCATCGGCGCACCCCCGGGTCCCCGGGCAGCACTGCCGGGGCGCCTGCTCGGCCGTCCTCGCTTTCCCTCTGGCGGCCAAGGACCCGGGCACAGTGGGCGAACCGGTTCGCCCCGGCCCACACGTTGTCGCCAGCGCCGCCGGGCTCCCGCTCCAGACCCTACTGACCGCGCGCGCTACCTGCTGCAGGTACTGGTTGATGGTGATGTGCGCCATGGCCGCTCCCTCCGACGGAAGTGGGCGGGGCCCGCGCGCCCGGCCGCGGGCGCTTCACTTCCGGCCCACAGTCCGTCCCGGCCCGCGCGCCCCCCGCCCCGCCTTCCCCGCACCCTGGTTCCGGAGGGAGAGAGTCCGCCGGAGCGTGCGCCCCGGGCCGGCACGCCGGCGCGCCCAGGCCGAGAAAGGCTGGTGTGTGCGCTACGATTCGCCGCCGTCCCTCGGCGAGGACGCCTCGTGCGCGCCACTTGGGCGCTCGGGCTCGCCCGGGGCACGCTGGGCCCCCGGGGCTGACCGGGCTTGCGCCCCGCCGCCCCCCAGACCGTTGCAAGTTCCCCACGCAGCGCGGCGGCCGCCCGGCGGCCCGGGGCGGGGGCGGGGCGGGGTCAGGCCGGGGTCGGGGTCGCGCCGGGCCGGCGGGGCGGCGGTTGGGCGGCCGGGGCGGCGCTGACGCGAGGCCCGCCCGCCCGCGCGGCCGGGGAGGCGGGACGGGGCGGGGCGCCCGCTGCTTCCCGGCCGCAGCCATGGCCGACGAGACCCCCAGGAAAGGCGCCCTGTCGGCGCTCGTCGGGCACACCAACGGCCTCACCAAGCCCGCGTCCCTCGCCGCGGCCGCCGTCTCCTCCAAGCCCGGCGGCGGCGGCGGCGGCGGCGGCGGCTCCAAGAAACTAGTGATCAAGAATTTCCGAGGTGGGTGCGGGGCGGGCGGCCGGGGCGGGGTCGGCGCCCCCCAGCCGCCGGAAGTGCGCGTCCTGGGGGCGGCGGGGAGCCAGGGTGCTTGGGAGCGGCGGGGAGCGGCGGGGAGCGGGGGTCTCGGGGGTCTCGGGGAGGGGGGGGTCCCCGGCCGCCGGAAGTGCCCGTCCGGGGCAGCTGGGGTCCCGGGAGCGGGGATCCCGGGCCGCCGGAAGTGCCCGTCCCGGGGAGCGGGGGGTCCCGGCCGCCGGAAGTGCCGGTCCCGGGAGCGGGGGTCCCGGGCCGCCGGAAGTGCCCGTCCCGGGCAGCGGGGGGTCCCCGGCCGCCGGAAGTGCCGGTCCCGGGGAGCGGCGGGGAGCAGGGGTCCCGGGAGCGGGGGTCCCCGGCCGCCGGAAGTGCCGGTCTTGGGGTGCCCGGGGTCCCCGGCCGCCGGAAGTGCCCGTCCCGGGGGAGCGGCGGGGGTCCTCGGGCGCGCGCGGCGGCTCGCCTGCCTCCGGAGCCGGCGGGCGGCGGGCAGCGCGGCCGCGTCCTTGAGCCGGGGCCGGAGCCGCTCCCGAGCTCGTCGTGTGTAACGGGCCTTCCTGCACTTTCCACCCGCTGTCCCGGCCCCGCCGTGACCGGTGCCACCCAGACGGTCACGAGGGCGACTTGCCGAGGGAGACGCAGATGTGTGCAGCTGTGTTTCCCTCGTCTCGGTGCTAAGCGCCTTCCGCGCAGCAGAGGTGGTTCGGCTGCGGAGTGTAACCAGGCCGGCGACCCACGTCCTGGGCAAACCTCGTTTCCGTGTCCCTTACCTGTGTGCCTCCTAAGTGCTTTCCGCGGAGTGTTCCTTAAAGGCGGCCCGATGCGTGTGGCGCTCTTCCTCACTGGTGCTATCTGGATTCGCAGACAGACCCAAACTGCCCGACAACTACACTCAGGACACCTGGCGGAAGCTTCACGAGGCGGTGAAAGCCATACAAAGTAGTACCTCCATCAGATACAACCTGGAAGAGCTCTACCAGGTGAGGCTCCGCCCGCGCGGAAGGGAGACGTCGCGGGCGCTCGAGTGTTCGTTCGTGGAGCTGCAGGCCTGGAGGGCTGGCCTCGGGGCCGCTCCCGTACTCGCGTGCTGGGAGGTAGCGCGCGAGTGAGTGGCCGGCTCCAGCGGAGGGTGGCACGGGCGCGGATGGGGTGGTCCTCGGGGCTGCCTCAGAGCCGATAAGGGAGCGTGTCCTAGCAGGGCGAGACTTGCTCCTGCGAGGGCAGCGGAGTCCTAGGACGCCGGTCCCCCGAGCCGGTGGCTGTGGCATTTTTAGTTGTCGCGCTCATGCTGCCGGGAAGGAGATTCGAAGTTACCTCGTTACGGGAGAAAGATACATTTCTGGTAGCCACCTGGCTCTCATCACTGTCCAAATAATGCAACAGATTACGTTGTGTATGTACGACACTTACTACGGTTTTACTTGTTAACATAGGTTTTCTCTCCTTTTTGTTTTGCGATTACTGTAATTAAGATATGCAAACAGATTTTGTTACGTTTAATTTAAAGATGTTCCATTTCCAACATAAGTCGTCATAAGTAAATATTACTTTGCATTTTCTGTTTATCAGCAGACTGGCTTTTCCTGATCTTATTTCTCAAGAATAGCATTCATTAACTAGTCTATCACCTGTGTTTTAGGTAACAATATGATACCACAATTTCTATGAAGAGACTTGAAGTAAAAGTTTTTTGTTTGCCTAGAAGTGTTTGTTATAAAAATTGTGGAGATTACAAAAAAGTACAAAGGGGAAAATTAAAACCACCTATACTCCCACCACCCAAGGAACACCACTATTGACAGTTCGATGGACATACAACCCCTCTTTGTATTAAGTTTGTGTGAGTTTAGTATGTTTTTTGATCAACTTTTTAAGGTATACATATAACATGTACTTCAATAAGTTTTATATTGAGGTATAAATAACCATCACCACAATAAAATATAGAAGATTTACATCACTTCAGGGAGTCTGTTCCTCTCCCCTGACCCCATCCTTGCAGATCACTGATGACCTTTCTGTTGGTACATTCTGCCGGTTCTAGAGTCTCGTCAGTGGAACCCATATCCTGCAGTTGTTTGTACCTGGTGTCTCGCTCAGGCCTACTGCGTGACAGTAATTTGTTTGTTTGTTGCTGGGGAGAATGGGTGCCACCTTTCTCCAGGGTAAGGGACATTTGGGTTTCCAGTTAGGGGGTGTTATGAATCAAGCTGTTATGAATGTTAACGCCTAAGTCTCGTGTGGAAACGTGTTCCATCCCTCTTAGGTAAATATCTAGAAGTAGAGTCTCAGAGTCGTAAGGGAAGGGTGTATTTAACTTTTTAGGACATTTTCTGTTTTCAAAATGGCTATACCATTTTCTGTCTGTACCAGCAGTGTGTGAGCGCTCCAGTTTTTCTATGTTCTTGCTAACGCTTGGTATTATCAGATTTTTTTTTTTTAGTTTTAGCCACTTGAGTGCTTGTGTAGTGGTCCTCTGTATTTCCATGTGAATTTTAGATTGCCAGTTTCCACAAAAATGTCTACTAGGATTTTTATTAGGGTTGTGTCAAATTCTCAATCAGTGTGAGGAAGTTGATGTCTTGATGGTTCCACGCCTACCAGCTGATCACAAGGCACAGCTCTGTTTAGTCTTCCTTGATTTTTACTTATTTCTAGTTCCAGTGTATAAGTCTTGTACATCTTCTGTGAAATGTACCCATAAGCGTTTGATATTTTTGGTGGTGTTATAAGTAGTAGTATAACTTACTTTCTGGTTTATGCTAGTATTTAGAAGTAGGATTATTTATGTATCGCTCTAGTATGCTCTCTTGCTAACTTCACTTCTAGTAGCTTTTTGTAGATTCCATCAGATTTTCTACATAGACAGTCATGTCGCCTATGAACAGAGATGGTTTCACTTCTTCCTTTCTAATCGGCATGCCTTTTATTTCTTTCTCTTACCTCCATGCCCTGTTCAGAACCTTCAGAATGATGGTGAGTAGAAGTGGTAAAAGCAGACGCCCTTGTTGGGCGGCTATTCCTTGTGGGAAGAGCGTTCAGTCTTTTGTCATTGAGTATGGTGTTAGGTGTGGTTTTCTCAAAAATACCCATTGTCAGGTTGAGGGAGCTCCTTTCTTTCCTAGTTTGCTGAGAAATTACCAGAAGTACCTGTTGGATTTTGATGAATTCTTCTATGACTGTTGAGATGATCATACAACTCTTGTTTTTTCAGTTTATTGCATTGATTGACTTTTCAGATGGTAAGACCATCCTGCGGACATCGGATAAATCTGACTTGGTAGTGGTGTATTATTTTTTATATATATTGTTGGATTTGTTTTGCTAGTATTTCATTAGTTTTTGCATCTGTGATCACAGAAGATAGTGCTGTGTTGTTTTTTTGTACTATATTTGTCTGCATTTGGTTTCAGAGTTGCAAATATTCCCTCCTTTTCGTTTTCTGTAAGACTTTGTATAGAATTGGTATTTTTTCCTTAAGTGTTTGAGAGAATTCCTAGTGAATCGTTAATGTCGGCTGTCTTAGTGGGGAGCTCGTAAACTACACATTTCTTTAGTGGCTATAGAACTATTCAGGTCACTCGTGTCTTCAGGGTCACTAATCTTCTGCAACGTCTAATCTGCCAGGACTGCCATCTGGTGAAATTTTTGTCTCGTGCACTGGTTTTTCTCTCCAGGTGCTCACTTTGAATGTTTTCTGTACCTTCCCTGTCGCTAGGTAACTTCTGAACACGGAGAATAGACTTAGAAAAGCTGTTTCAGTGTCAGTTCCAGGCCGCTTTTGACTGCTTTTCCTCCCCACTAAGGGTTGTGTTTTTCTTCTTTTTTGCATGTCAGATAATCTTTGATTGTCAGACATTGTGAATTTTCATTAGTGTGATATTTTTGTATCTCTATAAATATTCTGAGCTTCACTGCAGACCTATTAAATTATTTGGAAGCAGTTTGATCTTTTAGAGTCTTACTATTAAGATTTGCTAGGCAGGACTAGAGCAGTATTTTGTCCAAGGCTAATTGCCCCACGGCTGGGCAAAACCTTCCTGGATGAGTACTCAGTGCCTAGTATCTTGTGATTTTCCACTCTGGCATGTGGGGGGAGGTGTTATTCCAGGTCCCTTCTGGGTACCAGACCCTGTTGTCTCTAAACCTGAGTTTCCTCACACAGAGGTCCTGGTCAGTGCTCTGCTGAATCCTCAGGGAGACACTTGAGGTCTCCGCTCATCTCCAAGATCCTCTCTGGCCGGATCTCTTCCCTCTGGGCCTTCGTCTTGGAGACTGAAGCCTCAGCTCACGGCACCTGCTCCGCAGCCTGGAAACAGGGATGTAGGAAGTCAGAGTGTTGGGGCTTGTTTCCCACCTCCCAGAGATCACTGTCTGTCATAGGCCAATGTGCAGTGCTTTGAAAACTGGTGTTTCAGTTTTGTTTTGTTTTGTTTTTTGAGAGAGAGGGCAGGGCGGTGGCAGAATGGGGCAAAAAGAGAGGGAGGGAGAGAATCTTAAGCAAAGCAGACTCCACGCCCAGCACAGAGCCCAACACTGGGCTCAGTCTCACAACCCTGAGGTCATGACCTGAGCTGAAATCAAGAGTTGAACCCTTAACTGACTGAGCCACACAGGTGACCCTCATATATTTTGTGTGGTTTTTGGTAAAATCAGGCAGAAGGGCTAGCCTAGTCTCTTTATTTCATCTTGACCAGAAGTAGGAGTCCTGTCAAGTGTCTAAATTCATAGGTTTTTAGTTTAATAAAATATTATACCTTGCAGGTAGGGACTCTTTTCCTGGAGATTTGACTATCTGGTATCGATGACCCATTATTTTTCTTGGTGGAATGACCTTGCCGTACCTTTTACCCAGCAGGATGTGTCGTGATGGTCGCCATAGATATTATTGTAAACGCCCTGGGTGTCCATGTGCATGTCTTGAGACCCTGAGGGCCAGAGGTGCTTACCCTCAAAATGGGATTACACATTCTAGGAGGCACCGCAGGAAAGCCCGCTGGGCATCAGTTGATTGACTTACAAAGGGGCGTGGGCACAGGCAGGCTCCTGGCCACTCACAGACATGTTCCCCGGGGAGTTCAAGTACAGGGCTATGGAATGAGCTGCTCAGATCTTTTGGAAGCAAATGGGACAGAAATAGTAAGTGACGTCATTGTGTAGTTATTGCCCGCTTGTATTATCCTGATCTGTGATGAAGTAGGCAGTGCATTTGACCTGTTGTTTCGAAATAAAGTCTGTTTTTGCTGAGGTGGTGTGGTATATACTTGGCTGAAGAATCTTACGTGAAAGTAACCATTCTTACCAAAGTATGAAAGTTGTTTTTTTTTTTTAAAGATTTTATTTATTTATTTGACAGAGATCACAAGTAGGCAGACAGGCAGGCAGAGGGAGAGGGAGAAGCAGGCTCCCCGCTGAGCACAGAGCCCGATGTGGGGCTCAATCCCAGGACCCCGGGATCATGACCCGAGCTGAAGGCAGATGCTTAACCATCTGAGCCACCCAGGTGTCCCCCAAAGTATGAAAGTTATTTGGGGTTCTTTTTTTTTTTTTTTTTTTTGAGGAAATTTTCAGGATGTTTTGATGTTTATTAGTTTTCCCAAAGTGGGGTTATCTCCCCGCCAGGGCATCCCTTACCCAGACAGACCCTGTAGGAGGCCTACCTAGCACCCCGTGTGTCTGCTGTAGTCTGCCTGTTGTTTCCCTGTCCCTCTGTTCAGTGAAGAGGGAGGCTCAAAGTGTGGTGATGGGAAAGTCCTCACAAACACACACATGCACTGTCCACAGTCACTTCTCTCCTACAGCGCTGGGAGGAGAATATTTTGAATGCGTAGATCTTTTCAGTCTGTTTTTAAAGACCTGAGTTTAGACCTGTAATCACTACCTGTGGAAGAAAGTTTATCTTGTGTGTCTCCAGTCTATACGTTTTAGTCCTGTTGTCAGCCTGATGGAACAACAGAAAACTAAAGACTGCATTTTCGAGAAGGGTTTCAGAAAAGGGCTAATGTTGATTTCAGGCAGTTTTGGTGCCCAGAAACAGAGCCGTCATGGGGGACTTGCTGTTCTGAGGAAGGCTGTGCTGTCTCGAGTCGGACTAAGGTCTCTGAAATCCTCCTGCCTGGTGATAATTTACTGAAGGAAAATGTGGACTTAGGTATTGAATGCATTAATAGAATGGCTCAAATGGATGAGACAGAGTGAAAAGGACTGGATAGTAGACACATATAAACACATTATTTGATGGACCAATTTGAGAAGGTAACAAATTAACAGTGAACTCAATACATAAGTTCTTCAAAAAACAGGAGAATCTGCAAACTCAAATCTGTTTGGCTTAATAAAAAGGATTTCATAGGGGCGCCTGGGTGGCTCAGTCGTTAGCGTCTGCCTTCAGCTCACGTCATGATCCCAGGGTCCTGGGATCGAGCCCCGCATCAGGCTCCCTGCTCAGTGGGGAGTCTGCTTCTGCTTCTCCCTCTCCCTCTGCTGCTCCCCCTGCTTGTGCCCGTGCTCTCTCTGTATCAAATAAATTTTAAAAAAAAAGAAAGAAAGGATTTCATAAATCAGTGGTGTCAGCACTCAGCAGGGTCAGTCGTTTCTGGAGGTGGCTTACGTCTAACACCTAGGACGGGGAGTTTGCTGTGTAGTCAGAGCTGGTAAATACGGCCACACGGGTCCTGGTTTTCCTGGAAGCCCTTGTTCTATGGGACTTCCCTCTCTTAATTTATCCACTCAGATCTGAGTTCTGATTGGATTTTTACGTTCTTTACTCATTTCTTATAGGTAGGAATCTGGTGGCATAGAGCCCCATCGGTGCCTTCTTCCCAGGTGGTGAGCTCATCACCTTTCAGTGGGCCTGCCATTGAGTAGGGTCCATCTTCAGGACTGGTGATTGCTTAACGGGGGGCTAACGCTGCCGCCGTCCACCCTGAGCCGCGCCCGTGTGCCCGAGTGTGTGTGTGTCAGAGGGCGATGTGCCGGTCTCGCTGTGAAGTGGGCCCTGCGGCGGGCCCCGGCCAGTGCGCCTTTCTTTATAGGGCGTGGCCCGGCGTGTGATTTTCCCCGAGCTGGGGGTTCGTTCTCATTTTCCCTTCACCTACATAAATAGTTGTTGGTGCCAGCCTGCTTTTCTCCTTTCTGATTTCTCACGCTATGGCTCCTTTTACTCTTCTGTCTCTCTAATCTTAGCTTTGGCCCTCAAGGCCCTTACGTGAAACATCACCTTCCAGAACCACGTACCCTCATTTCAGCGATGCTGTGCTTTCTCCCCACCCCGCAGCTCACTTTAACACCATGTTGGGTGTTCCGCCCCCAGGGGCAAGTGCGCTCGGGGCTGAGGGCTTGGCCCTGCAGATAAACAGGCATTTGATCCTGCCATGCTGGGCTGTCCTAACACAGACAACAGCCTGGAGGGCTTGGGTGTGGAGGCCTGGCCCACTTGATTAGAGAGCCGAGCTGTGGGCGGTTCAGACAAGCGGTTTCCACCACGGCCAAGTGGGAGCAAGGAAAACGCCTTTATCCTGACACAGGTGCTGCTTGCCCACCTCTAATCATTGGATTAGTTAAATTCCTTTCCTCTGTTAGGACTCTTGAAAATAGGAGTGGTGAGTGGCGAATGTGAAAGTCATCCTCCCCGTACAGGTCAGATTCAGTACTTTATAGTCCAGAGAAGGCATTTCTAAATCCCAAAGTACTAGTTAAATCTCGCAAACTTACTCTGGGGCGGGGGGCTTCTATGCGGTGGAGCTCCTGTAACGGAGAAGTTGGCCAGGGCCCTGAGAGAGCGGGGCGGCCCCTCTGTGGTGCCTGTAATATGAAGACACCAGCAGTGACTCAGCAAAGACTCGGAGAAGGGACAGCGCCCACAGCAAACCTGGCTCCTCTGGGTTTGCCTGGTGGTGGTAAGAGGCCCCCAAACTCTCAGTCTTAAATACAAAATAAATCTGTGTGCTTCAGGTAAACAGTATGTCCAAATAGGATGAGAAACAGGGTTCTAAAATCAACAGTGACAGCATGTCACAACTGGGGAAAGACTGTTGTGAGGACATTGACTCCCACTTCAGGAATTAGAGCAAAGTGGTTCCTTCAGTGAGATGTTGTTCTATGAAGGACATGCTAAGCTTATCTTGATTTTTACCAAAGAAAATAGTTTTCTTTGTGTATTACATTAAAAACATTTCATGATAATTATGTTTTTGGGATCCCCTAATGACTAACTTACTGGAGCAAAAACATTTGTCATCAGGTTATCTTGGGTTTCTTAAGAAGGAAAGGGATAGATCTCTGAATTACAAAGGGCTACAAAGTGAAGGAATTGCAAAGTTTGAGAAAGAAATCAGAGATTTCAACACAGAATGTAGACGAGCCTTTATTTCTAGAGCAAGACAAAATAGGGCCTTTCCTATGGTGGTGGTGGTACACTGATAATAAACCTGCTAAAAAACAAGTTGTCCTTTTTAATGTCATCCTTGCCTGTTCTCCTTTAGCCTTTGTAAACATGGGTGCATTTCATAGCAGCGATTATTGTATTTATTTAACTCAGGTTAATATGTAGCAATTCTTGTAACATTAAGTGTGGGGACTATTAATGTTTTAAGTATTACTACAATGAACAGCTTTATAAAAACGAGTTATCTTTATTTCCTCAGGAATATAGTATTTGAGTTAGATTTAGATTCACACTGTTTCTATGCAGTGTGTCCCCAATATTTTTTAAAATGGTTCAGAGCTAGTCAGTAGAAAAAACGACATTGTTTTTAGTATCTCATTTGGATTGAATGAGATGCTGGTATTGTACATGAAATTTGGAAAATTTTATTAGAACTGGTGAGAATCTACAAATATTTTTTTTGATGTGGGTAAAAATATTTTAAGAAAATGTTTCTGCCCAAAAAACTTGTTTCTTCGTTAACATAAGACAAACTTAAGTAAATTTATACATGTACCCTGAGAAAGGTAAATAGGAAACAACACAACATAGCCTGTGTCTCCTGGGCAATCACGATTTTTCCTTGGCTCCTCATGGGCGGAAACTGCCCTGCTGCTCCCCCACCTGTTTGGAGGTGGTCACCGAGGGTCGGGGGCAGTGATTTCATGCCCTGCTTGCACATTAGAATCACACACCTTTCCTGCGTCCTCCACCTCAGAGGAGAGAGTGGGAGCGTCCAGCTTTGTTTTGAAGTCCCCAGGTGATGGTGGTGTGTGGCCAGGTTGAGAGGTTGCTGCGTTGTGGATGCTCAGACGTGCAGCCACGCCATGTGGCTGTCGTGGGCATGCTGTGAAATCCGTGTTCCACATCCACTGTTGTTACCATTCCTACCAAGCCCTGACTGGACCCCGGGGTTCAGACAGTAATCACCTTACACTGGACCCTGACTGTGTATTTGTAGGTTATGTAGGTATGAAGCGGGGGTGGGGGTGCCTCTCTGTGATGGTGGTGATTTTAGCTGTATGTACACACAGGGCTTTTTAAAGACCTAATTTGTTATTCATGGTGAATAATTCACTTGTTCCTTTTGTTTTTAGGCTGTTGAAAATCTCTGTTCTCACAGAGTTTCCCCAACACTCTACAAACAGCTACGCCAAGTCTGTGAAGATCATGTCCAAGCACAGATCCTTCAGTTTAGAGAATATCCTTTTTTTTGGCTCATGAGTTTCTATTCATTACCTAAGTCCTTTGAGACTGAACATTAATAGGATAAAGAACTAATGAGTATCCTTAATATTAAAACAACAGCTTTCAAAATTCGCATTTATTTATACAACAAAACCTAACTTTTGTTTCATGTGATCTAATACAAGATTTTTTTTTCCAGTGGAATTTTTACATTTAAATTACTCATTAAAGCAATAGAGTGTCCACTTACTGGGTCTGGTTAAAGTATTTAGGAAAAATTCTGGAAAATGTCTTAATTTTATGCTGCCATCCTTTTATCTTGTTAAAAAAAACCCTCTCTGTTTTCTCTGATGTGTCGAATACCCACTGACTTGGTGATATAAGCCAGCACCCATTTGTAGGCTCAACCGCGTGTGTAGGGAGCCACGGCTGGGCTCAGTGGGTTCTCTGCTCAGCGTCTGGTTGGCTGAAAGCATGGGGCCAGCCAGTTGGGGTCTCGCCTGCAGCCGCCTTCCAGGCTCACCACCATGGTGCAGAGGTCTTCTCCCTCCGTTGCAGGATGGTGCTCTCGGCCCCTGAGGCCGCCCCTGGCTTCTCGCCGCAAGGCCTCTTCTTAGGCAGCATGGTTATATGCTTCATCCGAACCAGAGGAAAATGCCCCACTCTGGTCTGCTGAGACAGAACTGTATGGTGTGACCCTCGTGTTCCCAGCCCTCCCAAGGTTGAGAGAGGGAGTTACAGGCTAGGACGTGGGGGCGGTTTAGCCAGCACCCCCTCGAGGGCCGGCGTCTGTCAGGGAAACAGAGCTCCTTGGATCCTGTCGACAGTCCTTTACAGTCTGGCCTCCGCCCACGTCTGCAGCCTTCCCATGATCACAGCCTTCCACGCGTCTCCTGCGTGGGCTTCCTGTTGCAGGCACCTGCTTGTGACTGCTCTTCTCTGGTGGGGTTAGGTAGTTGCAGCCTGTTCACTTCTGACTTCTTTTCTAGCTGAAGGAGGCTTTCCGTCCCATGGCCTCACCTTGAGAAACGGAAGCGTTCAGAGCTTGTCGAAGCCTTCAAGGCAGCCTCCACGGCTCTGCCGCCCGCTGTCTCAGCTCTGGATTCGCAGGGGCCGTGAAGCCCCTGTGGCTTAGGGTAGGGGGTCCCCGCAGAAGTGGGTGAGCAGGGTCCCCTCTGGTTGTCTCGTCTCGGCGTCTGTAAGCACAGCTCTGCCCCTCGGGACACCGGTGACCACACTGCCGGGCCTTTGGAAGACGGCCAGCGTGCCACGTCCCAGATGTATGCTCGCGCCTCAGTGCCGCCGCTCGGCAGTCCGGGGGGCTGGGCGACGGGCCTGGGAAGCCACGGTCAGGGTGCTGGCGTCTGAAGACTACCAGGGCCCAGGCTTCCTGCAGGCCTCCAGCCGATCCCCAAGTTCCCGTTCCCAGACGGGCACGCGTGAGGGAGAGCCGCCGCAGCTATTGCTCATCTAGCCCTAAACTAACCAAGACCACGTCCTGATTCCTTGATAAACTCACCCTCCTGCCTGCTAACCCTATCTTGTGGCTACACGGATGCGTCCATGAAGTCACTCATTCAGCAAGTCCTCACTCCCTGTCCAGACCACCACCAAACGGTACAAGATGGTGGCCGCGTGTCCTCGGTACCGTGACAGACCACGGCCATAAAAATTACCGTGTATTTCAATGAAGACAAAAGACAAAAACATTCGGCCACGTTATACGTCTTTATGAGCAGGAGGCACCTGGAATTCTAAGATGCTCAAATGTTAGAATCGGGAGCAGAGCTTCCCAGTGGAGGTGATGCCGGAGTCACATCAGACAGGATGGGTAGAGGGTAGCTGGCCACAGAGGGAGGGAGCCATCAGAAGGGGGTGCTCGTGAAGACCCGGAGCAGTTTGGCGTGACTGGAACCCGGGAGAACTGCTGGAGTTTGAGGCTGTAGTTCTGGGTTGCAGCTTGGATTTGAATCTGTGTATGTAGTCCGCAGGCTTTGGACTTCAGTCTGTGTGTGTCTCTGAGCCCTCGCAGGTTGTGGGGGGGGGGGGTGTGCAAGAGTCCAGCAGGATGAGACCGGTGGCAAGGGAGGCCAGTGTCCACTGCGTTCCAGGCCCTGGCAACGAACAGGAGGACAGAGCTTCAACCCCGAGGTGGGGGGGCTGGCAGGAGCATAGAGTCTGCATTTCTGAAACTACGTGGTGAGAACAGGGCAGCCAATCCGTGCAGGGGAGATGTTGTGCTTGCAGGAGGGGTGGGTGATGAGGGGCCAGCATCAGAGCTGCTGCAGGTGCCTGGACACTCAGGGCGGGAATAGTCCAGGGTAAGCGTACTCGGATTTCTCTCGTGTCTGGGGTGTTCCTGTCTTCCGTGTGGGGCTGCTTTCTAAGCTTGAAGGACTGCCCCCCTCCTCATGCTCTGTTGAGGCCAGCAGGAGGAGTGCTTGGGGAGACCAGGAGGTTCACGTGTGTGATGAATTCTGCACTCACCTGCTCCTTTCAAAATAGGTTACCCGCTGTCGGTGATAGGCCTCTTCCCCAAGCCAGGGCCGTCCCCACGCACCTCAGCCACTGCCGCGTGCCCTGAACCAGGCGTCAGATGATGCAGCAGGAGGGACGTGCCGTGCGCCCAGGCTCAGTTCACGAGTGCCTCTGGGGAGCCACGGCCGACTTCCTGCTCTGTGTGCTGCCATGGGACCAGCTCAGCTGCACCGTGCTCTGTGCACTCAGAGCAGGACAGCCTGCTTTAGGAAACGTGGCACAGATAGAACCTGTCACTTTTCTCCTCCGGCGTAAGCACTCCCTTTCTGGTTTCTTTCTTCTCTTTGTTTAATCTTTGCAGTCGCAGGTAGATGTAGTTTTTTCCATGCTGTATTAGCATGTTGCCACTGGGTATTTGTTTGCTATCTGAAGACTTGTCTGACTCCTCTCAGTAGGCTGCTTAAACCTTCTCCAGACGGGAGTGGACGGTGTGGGGAACCTGTGAAGTGCAAGCCCTTGGACCAGCTCGCAGCATGGCTGCGTGGCGTGCCCCCCCAGCGGTGCTCATGTGAGGCTCTAGGTTTTGATTCATGGAGGGCTGGAGCTCCACACGTGCCCCCTTGTGTGGCCCAGCTGAGCATTCTGTGCTGTTTTCTATGGGAGTGGCCAGAAGTTACTCCACCCAGCTGTTTGAGGAGCAGCATCTCTCATTAGTGAGCTCTGCACGTGGGGCCCGTCCCTCCCAAGGAGACCCTGCACGAGGCAGGGTGCCGCTTGCTCAGTTTCAGCACCTGGCCTGTCCGCAGCGGTCGGATCGGCTGGTGTGCGTCTCGCCCTGGGCGCCCTCACCGACACCTTGGCCCCCAGCTGGTGCAGACAGCCCGTGGAGGCTGGCCAGGGTATCGGCCACACAGTGAGTGGCTTGTGCCCCGCACCAGGTGCCCGGGCTGCTGGGTCCCCACTGCAGTGGCACCTGTCCAGATGTGATTGTGACTCAGTCCTTTTTTTTTCAGACGATTTGTATAAGGTGGTAATCCCATAGGCCACCATAAATTGGAGCAATTGTAAAATACTTCTTGGAGAATAACGTGTTAACCATTGAACTGGTAGGTCTTTGCTGGGATTTACAATTTTTAATTTCTTAGCAAAGCCTCAAGAGAAAAGAAGTAAGATGTTTGGCCAGGACCATTGTGCTTGTGGTCAGCTCGCCTCACTGGTGTGACAAGATGCAGATGTGCCCGTCGGTCCCTCGTGGCTCTCTTGACCTTCTGTAAGTGCTGGCTGTGTCCCACCCTCCGCACACCTCCCCGCCAACAGAAGACTCCGCCGCCTGTCTGCTTTGACACATCACACGCTGGCCGTGGGCTTTTTCTCCTCTATGTGCTGTGGATTTTACATCTAACCTCACACCCGTTCTGGGGAAGCGGCCAAGGGAAGCTTGTCACTGGCCCAGCGTCCTAGAGCTAGGACCAAAGGGACAGAAGCCTAGGAGACGCAGGTCCTTCCACCTGAGCAGCTGCTTTATTGATCTGCACAGATGGAGCGCCGTCCGCACGCAGCTGGGGAGACTGACTGAGCACACGTGTGAAAGGTGCTTCGTAAGCCACGAGGCAGCAGGCAAACATTTAGGACCATGACTTTGCACAAACCTGTGATGGCCATGCTCCAGGCATTTGGCCGTGGTTTGCTCTGAGAGCCCATAATGGGGTTTCTTTTTCCTATAAGCAATATTTTGAGCCTTTCTTAAAAAACGTATTCTAATTATCAAGCTGAGAGCGTTCCTAATTTGGTGCATGAATGGGATTTCACGTCAGTTCTCACTGAGGCTGTAAGTTAAAGTTAGACTTCAGCCACCTCCCTGTAGCTGCCCGTTCCCTGGTGCTATGAACAGTCGGCCTGCTTCCCCACCACTGGGACAGCCTGGCTCACGATCGGCCCCTCTGTCCTCTGGGAGAGGACCCCAGGTCCAGCCGCCCAGAAGCCTGTGACCTGGGCCTTAGTTCAGCCAGCAGGGCTCCTCAAGGGACTTGGGAAGGGCAGGGGCGTGCAGCTGCGTTTATCATGAATGCAGGGTGAGATGCAGTGATGGAGAAAATCCACGTCTCTGGTCCTGTGACAACCGAGTGGTGGGCAGTGTTGTGTGTCAAGGGTGGCAGTGAAGAAGTTAGAACTGCAGTGACTAAACTGGCCGGCATTCGTCATGTTTTCCTTAGCAGATCTGCACAGACTCACTAGATAGTGTTTTATTTTTAAAGAAGATTAACACATGCTGGCAAGATCATTGCAGACAAATGGTAAGCGTACTGACTTTCTGTTAACCCTTGTTTTCAAGTACATGTGCTGTCCCGGCACCTTCATCACCACTGCTCTGCTGTCTGGTCTCCCCTGCACACTCCCTCTTGGTCCTGTTCACCTCTGGTGGAGCCAGACAGACGGGAGATGGCATAGCGGGGAGGATGTGCCCCTTTTAATACAGCTGTCTTTTTTTTCTTTTTAATCAGAGCATGGCCTCATCCACCTTCCCTTACCCACCTAAAGATGGTGTGGGCCAGACCGTGGGCTGAGATAGGGAAGTTCTGTTTAGGGTCAAATGCTTCCATCCAGCTCAACGTAGCTGAACAGCAGAGCAAAGCAGGGTGTGCATGCTGCTGTTCTGGACTGGAGTGGCTGCTGACTTGATCTTCACACCAACCCGACATCTCGTGATCCCTGAATGGGTCTCTCAAGTTTTCCTTGATCCCAGTTTGTGCCTCACAATCGAGTCTAACTTCTAGGTTTTTACTGTAACTGGACAGAGTCTTAGACTTTGTACGTGTGTTGATTCTAATTAATCTTTTATGTATGTGAGTTTTTCATGTGGCCTGGTTGTAAGTGAAATCATGGTATCAGTAGCTTTGCTAAGTAGGTTGAATTCTTTTGTTTCCTAAATGAGGTAAACAGGGGACAATGAATGCGCCTCTTTTCCGGCCCAGGCACCTGGTAGATGGTCAGAATAGATGAACGTCTGCCAGGAAGGCTTTGCTCACGAGTCCGGTAGCTTCCGTAATAAGAGGATCACAGGGTGGCTGATGATTCTGTGCACTCCATGCTCTGCTTGCAAAGGAGAGTCAACCACGTGGCCAACAGCCTTGTGCCAACATAATAAGGACTAACTATTTAAAAAGCTTAAAGTGTCTCTTTAGGCCCATGAGATTTACCACATTAGTCAAGAGATGACCAGATATCAAAGGTATCCTGTAGGTTAAATGCTTTAAAATCCTTATAGTCAGATTTTCTGGATAAAAGAGGTGAAAATCATGAGGGTCTTGGGGAACATCAAGAAACAATTATTGTTAGATGAGACATTTACCATAGTTGTGGTTCAGAAAGCCTAATCTTGGATATTTAGTTAGCAAGTTATGTAAATAAATGCTTTTCTAATTGCCAGATCATGATCAGAAGTATTTTCCTGTTTTTGGATCGCACTTACGTCCTTCAGAATTCCATGCTTCCTTCTCTCTGGTGAGTGAGTCAGTGAGCTGTGTCTGCTGCTGCCATTTGGTCCTTTATGTCAGCCAGGATCTCGAGTGCACACATCCAGACCCAGCTGGACCTTAGTCCTGGGGTCAGAGCCGGGGCGGGCCGCACCCGGGGGAGCCCCTTCTGGCACACTGCCCAGCTTGAGTGTCACCATGGGGGTGGCAGGCCAGCGAGGCAGCTCTGTGGGGAGGCCCGTTTCTGTTACTGGGCTCTGCGCGTCAGGACCGTCCGGAGCCAACGGGGGGGAGGGAGAGGCTGAGGCCCTCCGGGACCGTCCAGCAGCTGGTCCAGCCAGTGGTCTGGTGAAGGTCTGAGGAGGACTGGGGCTGGTGAGGTCATGACCCGGGCTCCTGAAGCCCCCCAGCGCCTCCCCATCCCGCTGACCAACCACATGCACAGAGACCTTTCAATCTGCCCGTTTACCATGTGGCATCTTTCGGGGACGGGGTGAATTAGGAGCTCCCCCCTCTGTCACCCACTTCCACACCCTGTACAACGCCCTTCACCACGCTGTCCGTCCCCTAAGCACCCATTGCTGCCTCCACAAAGCCCTGCCTGACCTGATCAGACTTGTCCCTTGTGTCGTCCGCGGGCTCTTCCTGGGCTCTTCTCCCATTCCCTTTAAACTCAGGTTCTTTAAAAAGCGGCTTGCTTTTGCAGTTTCCTTAGCATTGGTTCCTTCTGACCTGAGGCTAGAACTGCTCTTCCTGAGGTGTTGGTGACCCCTGGTTCCCAGATCCTGTGGATACTTTTTATTTTCTATTACCTGACATCTGTGCAGCTCTGGACACTCCTTGAAAGTCTCCCCTTCCTCGGTCCCCCTTTGCTCCTCTTCCCTCTCCAGCCGCTGCTCCCGTTCCCATTGTGCTAGACACCCACATGCGTCTGCAGTCTGCTGGCCCCGCACAGAGAGGGTGGCCTTTGTCCAGAGAAACGATAAGGGTGCTGTACTGAGGACGACGTGAATGGCATGGCTGCTAGTCTGTGCCAGGCTCTGTTCTAAGAGGTCCGGCACCTGCCAGCCTACCGAGTCTGCAGTATGGCTCTAGAGGGGTTACCGTTTTCTCCGTTTTATAGACGGAGAAACTGAGGCAGAGGGTTCCCATAATTTGCTGTTCCCAGGTTGTTGGGCTGCCTAGTCTGAACTGTTAGTTCATAAACATGGTTCATAGCGTAACCATGTCAGAACCTATAAACATCACAGCATCGATGAGACTGGCCTCCGGCCACGGCAGCAGGTGGGAAAGCTACGTCTGGTAGAGCCAGACTCACTGCAGGTGCACGAGAAATGCCCCAGGCAGGACACGGCGGGAGGGCGAGCCTCATCCTAGGCCTGAGCTTTGCACAATGAGCAGGAGTGCTGAGGTAGGTGAGGCAGAAAGAGGTGGTAATAGAGAAAAGGAAGCCTCTGTGGAAACGGGAGCTGCCCAGGGTGAGCTGTTTGTTGGGGAGGCAGGGACATGCGGCCTACAGGACATCCTGATTGCTGATGGTGGGGAGCGACGGGATTGAGATTTTAGAAAGCAGCGGCTCGCCTTAGAGGAGCAGGTGGATGAGAGCAGACAGTGAGCACTTCATAAGCCCCACACGGGCCGCCTGCCCGGCCCAGTGTGGAAGGGCTTTACAGGCGGAAGAGACCGAATGTGTGATCCCATTTACGGTTAAGGAAGGACAGGCAGGGACCCAGAGGCACTGCGAGCCAGGGGTGGGGCCAGTACTCCGACCCAGGTGGCCGGCTTGAGCTGCACCGCTGACCCCTGCGCCCGACTGCTGTGTCTTGGACGAGCGCAGAACACGCAGGCCTGCAGCTCCTCCAGGGAACAGGAAAGGCCTCCTGTGGTGTGTGCTGTGGGAGAGGGTTCACCCCAGATGGGGCTCTCCAGAACCCGCGCCCCCTGCACACTGTTGGCCGCCCCAGGCATGGCTCACCACCACCGCCTCAGCCGCCCGCTGAGAAGACCTGGCCAGGTCCGGGAGCTCGGTTTTGTCTGGCTACTCAGTGCTTGGCACGTAAGGGACCCGTGGAGGTGTTTGCACAGAGCCTGGTACCCCAGGGTTTCTGTGCACAGTGACCGAGCTGGAGTTCCCCAGGCGACACGCCGAGGGAGGATGATAGACTTATAGAGTCACATTGTACGCTCCATTCACCAATGGAGAGGACCGGATAGAGGAGAGGCCCCAGTGCCAGGGGAGGAAGAGTTGGATGACATGCTCTGGTGAGGGGCCGGAGCTGGAAAAGGGAGGGACAGAGGGGCTGGGTGGGTGGAGATTCCTAAATCCCGCCCCAGGAAGAAGGATGTGAGCCGCAGTGTTGGCAAGATCCATGTACTTTTCAGTGACAAGCCCAACCCACCCCAGGAAACAGCCTTGAGGAAGCAAGTACAAAGCACACTAGACTGGCCAAAACCAGAAAACACAACAAAGGCATACTTGACACGTGGATTTAGAGAGTTAGCAGATGAACAGTTTTGGGATGAGAGTCACGGTGTCGCTTGTAGCTTTACCTAGAATTCTAAAAAGGGAAACTGAAATATAGTTTTGTTTTTACTGTTTATACAGGGATATGGGATTGGAACTTTTTAGAAACCATATCATCAGCGATAAAATGGTTCAGAGTAAAAGTATTGATGGAATTCTGCTGTTAATTGAACGAGAGAGAAATGGCGAAGCAGTGGATCGCAGTTTATTGAGAAGCCTGCTGAGTATGCTGTCTGACCTCCAGGTAAGGCCTCCCTGCCCAGCTGCTTACGCTGAAACAAGTGGATGTAAGCAGGGTTTCAGTGCAAAACACGAAATCATAAACGTGGTGTGGAATATGTGTGAGGGGAGTGACTCTCAGGCTAGCCGTACAGCGCAGACCACAAAGGAGAGAGCCCTTACGACACGTGCTCGGCCCTCCCGGGAAAGGACGGGGACCTGCGGCACTCAGAGCAGAGAGCGCGTTGGGCAGCCTGGGCTCCGTGGAAGTCTTGGGTATATCAGCACTTGCTAAGGTAGGTTTCTTTACTGTAAGTGGTCGGTAACTTTGTTCATTTCTTAGGTGTATAAAGATTCATTTGAACTGAAATTTTTGGAAGAAACTAATTGTTTATATGCTGCAGAAGGCCAGAGATTAATGCAAGAAAGAGAGGTGAGACAAAGAATTAACTTTTTTCTTTTTGTAGATGTGCATCTTAAGTGTAATTTCTAGAAAGTTGTCTTTCCACTTAAACATTTTATTAGAAGTCTTCTGAGAGACACAGTCTAGCTGAAATTCTCAGTAATGAGCTGCATTCTTATTACAGTAAAGATTTAATTTCTTTTAACTTAGAAACTTTTTTATTTCTGTTTCCCTGCCCCCACCCTAAGTAAAAAAGCCAGTAAGGTAGCTTCTGAAATGTGTAATAAAGTAACTCAAGTTGAAGCAAGAGGATAAAAAGTAAATCTGAAAGAAGAAAGATAAGTCAAACACACCCCAAATCTTCCCTTTGTGTGAGACATTGAAAAAAGTTATTCCAGAAAACCACAGGAAAAAACATGAAATAGTAATGTGAACCCAAAATCTTGGTAACCAGTTTCAAAAGTATGAGAGCAGGGAAAGGAAGCTCCCCTGGACCCTCCCCCAAATGTCACTCATCATTGCACAGGATGGCCCGACTGTTGGTTCTTCATCCTGGTTTTGGAGAGGGAGTTTCAGGCCCCATACCCAGCCCTGCCCCACCACGAGGTCAGAACGCCAAAGACGCATGTCATGGGGCCTTTCCTGTGCCGTCAGGTGACAGCAGGAATGCCCTTTACCCCTGGAAACATGAAGTGCACTTTTAGATCTTCTGCAACCGGGCTGTTTGGCGTCCTCGAATGAACACGCAGTCTTCTGATTAGCTTTTGCTGACCCTGCTGTCTGTGGGCCAGGGGGTGCGTTAGGCCTGCACCCTCTGACCCAGCTGCTGCTCACCTGCCCACAGGGCCTCAGTGATAGGAGGGACCCGTGGTGTTGTCCCTGAGCTTCATGATGAGCAGGGCACAGCAGTGACGTGCTGTGCCGTCCCTCCTAGACTTCCAGTTTACTCTCCAGAATCGAGTTTAAGGGAAGTTTCTTCTACATATCCCGCCTATCCCCCATTACGCTTCCCACTTGGCCACTTTCACTCCCCCCACTCATCTGTGTTAATATTTGGCTTGAATATATATTCTGCTTTCCGTTTTTAAATTTTTGTAAGGACAACAGTGTTTCAGTTTCTTGTGTAACACCAAGAATCTTTGTTACCTAAAAAAAAAGAAAAAAGAATCTTTGTTACTGACATGTTTAAATGTTGTGTTTGGAAGGTTCCAGAATATCTTAACCATGTAAGTAAGCGTTTAGAGGAAGAAGGAGACCGAGTCATCACGTATTTAGACCACAGCACACAGTAAGTACTATTCATTTACTTGGTTCTTGCAATTTGAGCACAGTGAACCCTTTTCCTGGCTGGCATTCAGTACTACCTGAGAGTATTTTTGTTGCTTGTATTATTTGTGATCATTCAGTACTTGTGAGTGACAAGGGCTGTGTCATGAGATAGCGCCCAAACAGAGCACCTCAGGCCAAGGGGCTTGGCATCTTTGAGTTTAGAGACAGGGATTCTATTAAATCCATGGGGTGTCCTTGAATATTGGAAAATTTGGATTATAAACTTTTTTTTTTTTAAAGATTTTATTTTATTTATTTGACAGAGAGAGAGACAGCTAGAGAGGGAACACAAGCAGGGGGAGTGGGAGAGGGAGAAGCAGGCTCCCGGCCGAGCAGGGAGCCCGATGCAGGGCTCGATCCCAGGACCCTGGGATCACGACCTGAGCCGAAGGCAGATGCTTAACGACTGAGCCACCCAGGCGCCCCGGATTATAAACTTTTTGTTAGACATGTAAGATAGCTGTAATTCTTATGGTACTAAGTCATATTATTTTCTCTTTTCATCCAATTTTTTTTTCTCTACCTGAGGTTGAAAAGTAGCTAGGGAATAAAAAGGGGAAAAGTTGTGTGAATGTCTGCCTCTCGCTGTGCACATAACCTTTATTCAAGTGAGAAGAGGTAAGAACAGAAAGGGGATAGAAAAGAGACTGAAGGATAAAACGTGCAAAACTTGTGACTCACCAGGAGCCGGCAGGATGAAAGAAAGGAGCAGAGTTAAGGCACTTTGAGAATAGAGGGTCAGGAGAGGAAAGATGCCTTTAGATATTTGAGGGGCCCGTGGGGGAGCCCAGGATCTGCGGAGAGTGACAGTCATGCCGAAGCCAGGATGGCCTTGTTCGGGGTGCTGTGGGGACGCAGAGCTCCAGCTGGGGAGTGTGAGGGGCCACAGGGGCTGGAGGCCGGCAGCAGGGAGGTACAAGGAGTAGGAGAGGAAATGACAAATGGTATCAGATCACGCCAGTGGGTCAGGTCAAGGATGGATAAAAGCATTGGTTGAGTATCTGCTACATTTTTTTTTTTTTTTTTTTAGTGATATTTTCCGTGTAGCACGAAGTTCAAGAACAGGCCGAGCTAGCCGGTGTACTGATTAGGGAGCTCTGTATATGGTAGATCCTGTAGCAGAGCAAGGGAGCTGCCCTCACGGGCTCGGGTCGGAGGAAGGGTGGGGTACCGGCGCTGCTGGGAACTTCTCCGTTATGACCCAGAGGCACTGGGCACGGTGCTCCCCTTCCCTTTTGTATATGCTAATGCACTCTTGTATGTAGGCTCTACTTTAAACCCCTCCCTCCCAGTTTTAAAAACTGCATCGCTTAGAAGAGTATTTGTAAATGATTTAAGGAAAGGAGTATTAGGTGGTTCACCCCCAGGCTTAGGCACAGGTGGGTCGAAGGAACACTGACTGAGGTGGCTTCTGCCACCACAAAATAAAAAGTTGTCGTCAGGAAGAGGGAGACTGAGGACAAATAAGCAGCCACAACAGCCTTAGGGCTGGGCTCAGGGTGCCCCTTCCAGCCCCACCTGCCCTCGGTCCGAGCACCAAGGACGGAGCCCATGCAGATGAAGAGCATGCTTGAGAGCCCCAGGGCGTTGTCTCCGGCTGCAGCATGTGACCCACCTCACGCTGGACAGCGCGACTCGCTTAGCAGGCCTCGCCCCAGGGACGGCTGCTGTGTGCCCCTCAGTGCGGGAAGGACCCGCTCTCCCGTTGGTTGGCAGGAATTCTCATACTGCAGAATCAGTGAGTTGTCACCGTGGACTAGGAGGTCAGTCTTTGGGCACCTGGGTGCTCAGGCAGGGAGTTCCGCAGGACTGTCCCTCTGGTCACAAGGGGTCTGTGGTGTCTGCCCTTAGCCCGGGGCCTGTCCCGGCACCTGCGGTACGGTAGGCGTCACACGGACTGTTGGGATGAAGACCATGGTCGGGCTTCTAGAACGGCGGTCTAGGCCATAGGCTGCCTAGAAGCAGGGATTCTGTGAACACAGGAAGAGTTGCTCAGCATCGTTAGTCATCAGGGAAGTGCAGCTCAAAACCAGACGCCCAGTCCCACTTCACACCCACCAGATGAGTGGACCCCTCGTGCCCCGCCGACAGGAACGTAAACCGGGCAGCTGCTAGGGAGACAGCTCGGTAGCTCCTCAGAGTGCTGTCCGGAGTTACAGGGTTTCCCGATGCACTAGTTCTCCTACTAAATATGTACATAAAAACGTACGTTCACACTGAACTTGTATGCAGATTTTCATAGCAGCTGTATTCATCGTAGTCTACGGGTAGAGACCACCCGTTGGCCGCTGATGCGCGGGGGTGACACTGTTCAGGGCAAGAGCAGGTGCACCGCTGGCCCTGCTGTCCACCTCTGACCTTTGACCTCCACCCCAAATCCCATGGCCCTGCTCTCCCTCTTGGAGGCAGACTGGGAAGGTGCTGGCCGGCCCCTCGCCCCTCACCCTGCTCCTCAATCCGCCCAGTCTCTGACCTCTGACCTCTTGCGGAGTAGGGGCTGGGGGTTGGAGACAACATCTACTGCGCCTCTCTCTAGAGTCACCATGAGGTTTAAGCTACTCTGTTGAAAAGTTCTTTATGAAGCAAAGGCTCAGGAAGATGCCCAAAATTAATAATCCTGGGACTAAAGTACATGCTGTGACCTTTGAATAACAACTGAAAGTAAAGGAACTGTGGATGGTACACCCGGGAAGAGTAGTTCCACATGTCCCTGTGAGTGTGGCAGCCACATTTACGGACGTTCCAGATTCTCAGACGTTCTGTTCTGCGTGACACTCCTGTGGTGTGAGCCTCACATCGGAGCCTTGATAAGTAGGATTTTTGACAAGTGGTCATGGGAGGGGACAGGCCTGTCCAAGTGGAAGGTGATGGGGCTGGAGCGGAGCAGGCCAAGCAATGGAAGATGGGGAGGCTAGGGTGCCTTGCACTCAAAGGGCAAAGTCTTCTTTCGAAAACCACCGGCCAAGCTGGGGGTGCGGTGGGTGCTGGTGTCCCCCTCTCCCTGGACCCCCGGTCCCTTTATGTTATTCAGTAGATAGTTAAAGACTTTGGCGTCTGCTCGGACGGCAGGGAGAATGTTCGTGGTCAGAGGGAATGGCTCTTGTGGTGTCCGTTGGTCTCTGATTGACTCCACCTGATGTCTGTGACTGTCAACTCCGCTTCTTCACAGCTGACCAGAGTCTCTCCTTTTACTTCATCTCTGACTTTTCATCTTTGTCTCATGTAGGAAACCGCTGATTGCTTGTGTGGAGAAGCAGCTCTTAGGAGAACATTTAACAGCAATTCTGCACAAAGGTAGGTTTTCCTAACTTGTGTCAGTTGGACCGAATGACGGTCTTTAATATATTAAGAAAGCAAGTGAGACATCGCACATAACAACGTAAAGGACATTTTTTATTGTAATACGACAATCATTAAAAATCATTAGGAATAACAAACATGTTAGCCCTTGGGGAAAATGAGTTCAGAGAAATAGTGAACAGCCTCTGGTAGAAATCCCGTGGAATGCGCTCGTGACCAAAGCTGCTGAGAGACCCTCCCATCCACAACTTGCGGCTGGGTCCTCGTGTGGCGCTTGTCCTCCTTCGCTGGATCGGTGCTCACCGGTGCTGGCCCACGCAGAGCGCCACGGGTGTAGGCTGCTTGGACAGGCCCTTAGATTGTCTCGGGGCTTCCTCCCCATGCCCTCCGCTCAGCTGAATGCCAGCTGAACCACCAGGTGGCTGGGGATGTAAGCCAGAGTGCACTTTCCCATCCTGAGTCTCCTGGAAGAGCGAGCACATGACATTGCTGACTGAGCAGTGTTCTCTTCCGCGCTACATCCCTCGTGTCGCTCTTCAAGCCCTGGGGAGGAGCGACTCCAGCAGCCACCATGCTCCTGCTGTTTGATTTGTTCAGTCTGCTCTCCTCATTAATTCCTGCCCTTCAAGGTGTGCTTCCTTCCCTGGACATTAGAGTCAGCCCAGTCTCACCTCTTATAACACGTTTGTACTTGGCATTACTTTTTATAGCTCTCAGGTATTTAATGTTACCACTTAAAAGTCAGGTTGGAGCTACAGGATCTATTTCAAGATAGTAGAGACCTTAAAGCTTAATCATGGGAAGACCCAGAATTATAAACATAAATTAGAAATTAAAAGAAAAATAATCAGCTGAAAGATGAGACCTGGTAACTCCCCCTGTGACAGATCTGAGCGACAAACTTGATCAGAGGTAACATGGGGCCGTGAGGCCCCGGGGGCGATCGGGGAGCACTGGCCAGGCCGCTGTTAGTGAGACCAAGGCTTCCATGACCCGAGGGATTAAGGAACACACCTGCCCGCCTGCTCAGAAAATGACCCTGCCTGACAGGGTCTTCTCAGATTCGGGAGACCAACTTGCCTACATAGAAATAAGCAGCAGTCCCTGCACTTGTGACTTACATACTAGCGCGGTTGCATGGTGCACACCACGCCGACTCGCTAACATGATGTGCTTACGTTTGCTGTGCGGTCTCAGGGCTGGACCACCTGCTTGATGAGAACAGAGTGCCCGACCTCACTCAGATGTACCAGCTGTTCAGCCGCGTGAAGGGCGGGCAGCAGATCCTGCTGCAGCACTGGAGTGACTACATCAAGGTGCGTGGGGCCGTGTCGGCGGGCGATGACCATGCCTTGTGGGGCGTGCGGTGCCTGGCAGAGGAGCTGGGCAGTCTGGAGACACCCTGGTTTTCTTGTGGCAGGTGCTTGGGTGGACAGCTGTCTTGAATTTCCTTCCAGATCGCTGGTGCAAACCTTTTTTTTAAAGATAACACCAACAGTGCGAGCACCGCCTACAACCAGGTGTGATGAAAGTCTGCCATTCATCAGCTGCCTGGGCTCCAGTTCCAGTTCCAACCACGATTTTCAGAGTTGCCATTTTGTGAATCTGCTTTTTAAACATCCGTGCCTTTGCTCATGAGAATTATTACACATTTTGGAACATCCGTGTACTATGTATGCTGCTTCATTTTCTAGCCATCCAGGACTCTTACTTTCACAATACTTTGATGTTTCTTGGCACGTTGGCCTGTGGTTATGGGAAGGCAGCAGGAGGGCTCTTGGGCTGGAGTGCTCATGCCCGACCACGGTGATGGGTGCACAAGGCTGCCCCCAGCGATAAGTCCGGAGAACAGTACACACCGGGGGGCGGGAGGGAGAAACAGGTGAAACTGGGGCAGTCTGGAGAAGGTGGGTGTAGGGTATCAGTGCTCATACCCCAACAGTGATGCTGCTCTATCGTTTTGCCAAATGTTAGCATCGGGGGGAGCTAGGCAAAGTGTGTAAGGATCTCTTCACTCTCTACTGCATGTGAATCTGTAATTATCACCAGAAAAAATTCCATTAAATAGAAGGGGTAATGGGAAGCTTGCATGCTGCCTTACGGAACAGTCAGTCCTAAGAGTGCATATCCGTGTACACGTGGAACGCTCATGCACACGTCACCACACCCCCGAGACGTATACAGCAGCATCGGAGGTGAAAGTCATAGCGGGCTCGCTCTGGGTCAGCGACAGAGCTTCATGTTACGGGAAGTCTGATGGGGAGTGCGGTGTTGCTGACGAGTAGCCCTCCAGGGAGCAGGGACATGCAGCGAACATGGGAGGTTCCCTCGGGAGTTTCAGTCCGGGTAGTAAAAGTGTAGTAAAAGTGAGTGTCCATCAGGGATACGCAGTCACACCGAGACACAACACAGGTGTGTGGCTGTCACAGGGAAGATGACCCTTGGCGCTGTGTGTGTTACTTGCCGTCAGTGCAGAAACACAGAGCAGAAGGTCCCAGCCCTGCTGGTCATACAGTGTCCCTCCACTTACGTGTGTGACACCTGAGTCTGCATGTATATGCTACTGAGGTCGGTTTTCCAAAAACCTATATATTATTTCTATCAAAAGACCAAATTCGACTGAGTACATTTTGAAGATCTTACTGGCTGTACTTGGTGACTCATGAACCGGGCAGCGCACCATCCAGCAGATAGAAAGGAGCCCCAGGAGATAAGGGAGACTTTCACAGGCGGGAGCGGGCAGGACAGGAAGTTCTTGTAGTAAAGAGCAGTTGGTGTGGCAAGGTCACCTTCCTCGGGGGACGGCAGGGATCTGTCTGGCAGAGGTCCTCCCTCGTGCTGGCAAGCCTGCTGATCGCTCCAGGACTCCATTCCTTGGAGGGGCAGGCCGCAGGTCCCGGTCTGCTGGCGTGGGGCTGAGCACGGGGACTGCACTCGGGGCCTGCCGTCTCTCTCTTTGTAAACACGTCAGAGAGGAGCTGTACTCAGCATGAGTTACACCACCTGGGAGCGCATTTCCTCAGAAGCCGTTACTGCCATGTACAGACTTTTCGTGATGTTGAATAGGGCGTGTTTGATTTAAAAATACAGGCTAAAAACTGAGCTGTTGCTGGTTAGCAGTGGGGGAGAAAGAACCCTATAGTCAAGAAGCCCAAGTGGGTGTATTGGGTTAATGGGAACTTCTGTTTAGGAATTCATATGTAAAAGGTTTTTTTAAAACCGTGGACACTGATTTATAAATTCTTCCAGAAGCAGAATTGTAACACTGAAGCATTAATTGTATATTCACTTAATTTTTTGAATGTGGGCCGAATCTGAAACTTGAAATTATTTAGTATTTAACACCAACAGTAATTAATTTATATAAAAGTATTATGATTGGTTGAGAGCAGGAGAAAATGTGTGGTACCATGCCTGTGGATGAGTTGGGGTGTGTGTGTGTGTTCTTGTAGACTTTTGGGACAACAATTGTGATCAATCCCGAAAAAGACAAAGACATGGTACAGGATCTGCTGGATTTTAAGGATCGGGTGGACCATGTGATAGACGTGTGCTTCCAGAGAAATGAGAAGTTCATCAACTTGATGAAGGAGTCCTTCGAAACGTTTATCAACAAGAGGCCAAATAAGCCCGCGGAGCTGATAGGTAGGAAAACAGACTTCCATACAGTTTTTTAATATAGGAAAATAAGGCAGAGCTCAAGCAAACGTTTTTTCCCAAAATGTTTAAGCTCCTCTTGGGGAGGGTGAGGAAGGATTTGTATTACACCTTATTAGGACGCACGTTTTTTTCAGAAATGTGTGTGTATGTTATGTACATATATAAGCACATGGCATTTCCGCAATGCTGAACATAGTAGTAATTTTGTGAAGATGAAGCTTGACGTCACAGAAGGAAGAGACAAAAATTTATTCTCGTGTGCATTTCCTACACTGGCAGCTCCAGAGCTGTATTTGATAGAAATGAGCCCTGGTTCTGTCTTGATTGCAAGTAATTTGTGCTCAGAAACTGGATGAAGAGGATTTGTTCCACACGAATGTCTCTGGGTTATGAGGATGACTTGATTGATCTCTAGAGTACATTTAGCAGGAAGATATTACTCAGTCCCTACCTTTGCATCCTCTCATCAGTACTAAAATAAGATAAAATTGGATGAGGTCTTTTTTTCTTTTTTCTTTTTTTTGGATGAGGTCTTAAAAGATAACATGGTTAGCGCTGTGAATTGTGTAAGACTGTTGAATCACAGACCTGTACCTCTGAAACAAATAATATATTATATGTTAAAAAAAAAAAAATAGTAGGAAGGGAAAAATGAAGGGGAGGGAATTGGAGGGGGAGACGAACCATGAGAGACTATGGATTCTGAGAAACAAACTGAGGGTTCTAGAGGGGAGGGGGGAGGATGGGTTAGCCCGGTGATGGGTATTAAAGAGGGCACGTTCTGCATGGAGCACTGGGTGTTATACGCAAACAGTGAGTCGTGGAACACTACGTCAAAAACTAATGATGTAATGGATGGTGATTAACATAATAAAAAAAACTAAAATAACAAAAAAAAAAAAGAACATGGTTTAAGATGAAACCGTTTTTAAATGATCACTTTATCCAATTATGTTGTAGTAATACCAAAACATATTTCAGGATTCATAGCCTCTCACTAATCAGTGAAGGTTTTTAGGCAAAGGGCAAAGAAAGAAATAGTAAATACAGTGATTCAACATTGGGCTTATTGATTATTGTGGAGGATATGTGATGGGAATGTGGGGTTCATCATGCAGTTCTCTACTTTTGTGTATGTTCAGAGTATTTCATAATAAAAAATCGTGAAGGAAGAAATTAATAAAAGCAGCAACAAGAGGGGCCCCTGGCTGGCTCAGGCGATGGAGCATGCAACTCTGCATCTCAGGGTTGTGGGTTCGAGCCCCACATTGAACGTAGAGTGCTCTAAAAAAATAAAATCTTAAAAGGCAGCAATAAAAGAAATATACAAGGCAGTTTCGTTTGGCCTTCGTACCACTTTATGGACTATGGTTTCTCCAAAGATGGATATTTAACTCTTGGCCAAACCGCACGGTTGATCCGTGTGGTCTCAGCAACAAGAAGGCCGAGTGGCCTGCTCTCCCCTGGGTTCAGGGATGCCACGTGTCAAAGACGGGCTGTTCCAGTGGAGCAGTAATGCGTTGTGAAACCCAGGCGTGTGATTCAAGTATTTATTCTCACATAACTTGAAAATATCTTAGAAAATCAAATTATCTGCCTTTTGTCATATAATGTCATTTTGGAAAGGTTCCAGGGGGTTGCCATCTGCTTTTTGCTTGTAGGAATTAGAGATGTTCTTTTTTGTTTAGAAAATGTATCATATAACAAATACTTATTCTTCAAATAATTTAAACTCTTAATCTCACAGCAAAGCACGTTGATTCAAAGTTGAGAGCGGGTAATAAAGAAGCAACAGACGAAGAGCTGGAGAGGATTCTTGACAAGGTCATGATAATATTCAGGTTCATTCACGGTGAGATACCCTCTACGCTGTTCCTATTAACACTGAGCATGGAGAAAAGGTTACCCGGTCCAGAAATCTGGATTTGGGCCCTGTCTTGTCTTTTCTTTTTTTTTTTTAGATTTTATGTATTTGAGAGAGAGAATGAGATAGAGCATGAGAAGGGGGAGGGTCAGAGGGAGAAGCAGACCCCCCGCTGAGCAGGGAGCCCGATGTGGGACTCGATCCCGGGACTCCAGGATCATGACCTGAGCCGAAGGCAGTCGCCCAACCGACTGAGCCACCCAGGCGCCCTGGGCCCTGTCTTTTCTTGAGGAAGCTTGACTGAGACCTTTCCCCTTCGTGGTAGCACAGGAGGTAGAGGGATGGCCGCCGCCTATTGCATTGCAAGTGTTCTTTTGTGGTGGCGTCCCAGGAGGCTTGCGTGCTAGGGCAGCATGCCGCAGAACGGACACTTAGACTGTCCACAGTCGGAGGGAAGATTTCCGTATTAACTGTCAGATGTCTCGTGTCGTTCTCATTTGGTTATAAATAGGGAAAGATGTCTTTGAAGCATTTTATAAAAAAGATTTGGCCAAAAGACTCCTGGTTGGGAAAAGCGCCTCAGTAGATGCTGAGAAATCGATGTTGTCAAAACTAAAGCATGGTAAGTGTGTGGGCCCCGGGGTGTGTCCCTCCTCTGTGCTGGGCCTTGTCCCCAGTGGTGTTCACGCCCTCTGCTTGTGTCTCAGAGTGTGGCGCCGCTTTCACCAGCAAGCTGGAAGGCATGTTCAAGGACATGGAGCTCTCCAAGGACATCATGGTCCAGTTCAAGCAGGCAAGCTGTGTTTTTGTTCAAGTAGAACAGCTGTATGTAAGCGATCCCACTTTACGTTATGTCAAGCCCTCGGCCTTAAAAGTGACACTCCTCACACATTTGAGTAACTTAAATTCAAAATGAAAAAAAAAATAATCCCTAAAAATGTATAACAGAAATCCAATTTAATAAGTGTAATAGTATCCTGTGTTGGTAACAACCAAAGAAGAAGGAGAAATACCCCAAGTGGCTTTGGACCGTGTCATGTGTCTTCAGTGGAATGTGTTCTCGGGACTAAATACAAACACATGTTGAACCGTATTTTGAAAATTAACACCACTTACCTTTTTATGAGCTAGTTGTTTTGGATGGTATTCTACAGTACTTATTTTATCTTGTTGTGTTTGTTTTTAGTATATGCAGAATCAGAGCGACCCGGGCTCTATAGATCTAACAGTGAACATACTTACGATGGGCTACTGGCCCACATACACGCCTATGGAAGTGCATCTAACTCCAGAAGTGAGTGTTTGAAAGAGCATTTGTCCTTCGCATTTCTTGTGTCAGCGCTGCCAAAGTGCCGTAGGCTTCTTACACGCCTTCCGTGCACAGATGCGTTATCTGTCACGAGATATTTAATGAGAGGGTTTTAAATCCCACTATCACGGACCCAGTGTCCTTGTAGTCTCTGGAAAGCAGCGTTGCTCAGTGACTGCCTGTGACCCTGTCCGGCTCCTTCTGACACCCCCCCCTCCCCCCGCCAGGCCCCTGGCTGACCATCGAGAAGGCAGCGGCCCAGGTGCTGGGAGGCGCTGCTTGCTGGTTGTCATTCAGTCCCAGTGTGGACACTCCGGGTCTCATGGGCGCCGCTGCTCAGGGCTTCGTAGGTCGGCCACAACTTCGGGCCTGCTGGGGATTTGCAGAGAGGAGGGAGGGTCCTGGGCTCGGGAACTTAAAACCAGCCCCAGCACCGTCAATCATAATACCAGGTGACGTGGAAGAGAGCTTGCTTCTGGTGTGGCTCGGGGAAGTAGAAGCAGCAGGGACGAGGACCTTCTAGAAAGGGCCCAGGAAGGCATGGAGTTGCAGGAACAGGGAGCCCAGGTTGGAAACAGTGCCTCTGGAGGCTGCTTGTTCCATTTCCAAGACCAGGTCTTTCAGGATTTTCTTGTTTCTGGCCCCACTGGTTGCCTTTGTGGTTTTATTCTTACTGCTTGTTTGTTTTTAATTTATTGTTGAAGTACCGTTGATGTACCCTTCTACACACTGTCTTCGTTTTGCCTCTGCCTCTGCTTTGGACACTGACATTCCCAGAGCCCTTCAGCTCCCTCCTCAGCCCACACAGGCACTGAGACTCCAGCCTGTGAGTCCCTGGGCCTGAGTGCACACGGACGTCCCAGGCTCAGCACCCCAGATTGCTGTCGTCCCCCACCCCCCTGCCTGAGTCCCCACCCCGTGGGGAGTGCAGCTGCTAGATGCAGAGACTCCATCCCAAGCTGCCTGTGGGCTCCACGCACCCCCCGCCCCCGTTCCCACGTTCTCCACGGCCGCGGGGTGTCACTGTCCGAGATGGAGTCTCCTGCAGAAACCCTTCCTCACCTCCTCACCGCGCTCAGCCACACCTGTGCCTGCTGGGGTGCTGCCGGTTTGTTCACTTCTTACTCAGAGGTAGTTGAGACTCACAGGGACTTCGTGAGAACCGCTCAGAGTGTCCCCAGAAGCTGTTGCCTGTGTCTCCAGCCCTGCTGCTGGTGGTGATCCTTCCCTCTGCGTGGATGGGTGGGGTGTCCCTGCCACGTGAGAGAGACCCCCTACCCCTTACTACCTCAGTGGGTGCTTCCCCAAGCACGTCGTTGAGTCAGACCCCTGACGCTGCTGCAGTGACTATCCCGTGCGGAGCCCTCTCCAGTTTTGTCCAGGCCCAGCCCAGGCCCCACACTGCACTTAGCCGTGGTCTCCTTTCTCCGTCACAGCTACACCACCCTCCTCCTTTCTTGAGGCTCACGTGTTTTCATGAATTATCTCCGTTGGGCGTGTGTGACTCGATTCAGGCCATGCTTGTCCAGCCAGAATCACACACGGGTTTGCTCAGCGCTGCGTCAGGAGGCCCGTGCTGTCCGTTGGCCCCCGTCTGTTGGTGGTGGCCCATGTCGTCATTGGGTTAAGGTGTTAGCTGGTTTCTCGACTGTGGTTAGTATTTTTCCTTTTGTGATTTTGAAGTAACCTGTGGGGAGATACTCCTCTTCTTCCCCATCAGACTCTCCTGCGGGGTGACTCCTGAGTCCTGTTGACGAACAGTGGCTCTTTCTATCTTTATCTGTACGAACTCACAGACTCTTGGTTACTTGTCTCCTTGTTCACACTGTCCCGCATCTGGCTGCTGGAGCGCCTTACAGGCCCTTTGTCCTTCTACAGGCCCTTGTGGGTTTTTTAGTACTTTTTTGTTTTCTAGCAGAAGATGTTTGAGGCTTACCATACTGTGCCTTTTAAAAATATACCTACAATATAAATACAAATAACGCAATTATAGGTGGAGCGTACCTACAATTTACCACTTTAACCTGTGCAGTTGGGTGGCATCTCCATCTAGTTCATCCCAGACAGAGCCCTGCGCCTGTTGAGCACGCCCTCCCTCCCATTCCGTTCGCCCAGACCTAGGCACCCACCAACCTGCTGTCTCTGGATTCTCTGTTCCCGTTATTAACATAGTGGGAACCACACACCGTGTGTGGCTTTTTGTGTCAGACTTCTTCCTCTCGACGACATTCTATTTGCAAGGCCCATCTGCCTCACCCCGCGTCGTGCCTCCTTCCTTTTTAGGGCTGAGTGATACTCCAGGGTACACACAGACCACATTTTGTCTGACCATCCATCGTCCTTCCATGGACGCTTAAGTTGCTTTCACCTTTGGCCACTGTGGGTGTCGCTGCTGTGACAGGACCCTGTAAATACCGGAGTCCCTGCTTTCAGTTCCTTTGGGGTCCACGCCTGGGAGTAGAAGTGCTGGGTCGTGTGATAATCCTGTTCAACTGTTCGAGAAACTACTGGTTTTCCACGGCAGCTGCTCCCTTTCCCACCCCCACTGGAGGCACACAGGCCTTCCCGTTTCTCCACATCCCCATCCACATTTGTGATTTAGCCATCTTAATGGGTGTGAATCAGTGTCTCATTTTGGTTTGATCTGCTTTTCCGTAATGAATAACGATACCGTTGAGCGTCATTTCGTGTGCTCATTGGCCACTGTTCTCTCTTTGAAGAACTGTCTGTGCGAGTCCTGTGCCTATTCTGTAATTGTATTACCTGTCTTTCTGTTGCTGAGTTGCAAGAGTTCTTTATATATTCTGGGCACTAGATCCTTACCAGGTATGTGATTTGCAGATATCTTCTCCCATTCTGTGAGATGTCTTTTCACTATTTTGATGGTGTTCTTTGCACAGAATTTTAGAATTTTGATGAAGTCTGATCTGTTTTTTTCTGTTGTTACTTTTTGGTCTCATGTCTAAGAACTATGGCCAAATCCAAGGTCATGAAAATTTACTCCTGTCTTCTGCTGAGAGTTTTATAGTCTTAGCTCTTACATTTAGGTTTCTGATCCATTTTGAGCCTGGGGTTGTAACTAGCACATAGTAATCCCTCAGTGTTAGCTTCTGTCCTCTCACTGTTAGTACCACTCCCAGGAATTAATCTCAGGGAGAAAGTTTCTAAGAAGTCTATCACAGTATTGGCTTTTATTGCTTGGGGGGTCATACGGTATTAGGTACATGTTCTGAAAGAGTAACTGCCTTTCATTATATACTAAAAGACTTAGAAAAGAAATGACCGTCGTGTCTGGGATTTGATGTTGGCGATGGGTAGTGGGTGTGCGGGATAGTTTTGAAGCGTGAGGACAGGTTTGCTGTGCGGATGCGAGGCCGACGGGCATTCTGACTTGGATGGAGCACGAAGGAAGGGTGCCGCGGGCTGGAAGAGCGGTGTCCCCTCCCTCGGCCCTGCCCCCTGAGCTCTCTGTCCGGAGGGACATTCACAAGTTGCTGTAAATGCTGTCAGAGCCAAGCAGCTGGAGAAGACCTCTGTGAGGAAGGAGCTCTTAAAGATGAGCGGGCATGGCGGCGGATTCCCGTGGCAGCCTGAGCGAGGACAGCATGGCGCGCTTGGTCAAGTGGAGGAGGCACGGGACAGGCCAGTGCGGTCAGTGGTTTGGAAGGAAAGGCCCTTGGCAAGCCTCGGGAGAGTTTCCACCTCTATCCTAAGAACTTGGGAGCAGCCAAGGATACTGACGGGAATGAGCCAAGTGGCCAGCACACAGGACTGGGAGCTGAGGGTGCCACTGTGTCCAGGGTTGGTGGGAGAGCAACCAAGGAAGGCTCAGAAGGAATGGACGAGACACGGAGACACGGAGGGCAGGGGAGGCTGTGCGCTCAAAGCTGTCACGCAGGGTCATCTCGCTCGTTGAAGCCTGAAGCAGCACAGACCGTCGGCTGTCCTGGTGCAGAGTGGTGGCGACATCCAGGGAGCCAAGCGGAGAGGGTAGGGGGGCGTGTGGTGCCCCTGAGAGTGCACACGGAAATGCTGTCCTGGAGATCAGAGAGCTTGTCCATCAGGGAGAGTGGCATGCCGCCGGGGTGCAGAGGGGGTGGGCACCTGGACAAGGAGGAGGGAGGAGGGGCTCGGGAACTTAGAAGTGAGATCACAGCAATAAAGAAGTGGGAGAAGGTCTGGAAGGTACGGGAAATCCTCCCAGAAAGTAACGATGGAAACAGTGGCACGTCACGCCTTCTGTGCAGGCCCGCTTGCGGGCTTTGACAGCACCCACCCGGCAGCTCCGAGACCTGGCGCTCTGACCGGGGCTGGCCTCGGTGCTGCGGACGGTCTGTGCCGCAGGCTGGGGGTGCCCAGTGTGCGGTGTGGACGCTGCAGAGCACAGCCTGTGTGAACATCGGGTGCATCAAGTACTCCCTGCAGCGTTGCAGGCGGGAGGAAACCCCGGATGGCGCACATCTTCACAGGCCATAGAATAATCCAGAAAAACAGCAGTCAAAATACAGAACTGATCTTTTATCCTTCCAGATTCAGCTTTGAAGAATTGTAAAAATTCTGTAAATTGAACAGTATGTGGTATTTCAACGAATGGTGTTTAGCATCATTACATTTGTTGTTTTCCTGTGCTTGGCAGATGGTTAAACTTCAGGAAGTATTTAAGACATTTTATCTCGGAAAGCACAGTGGTCGAAAACTTCAGTGGCAAACTACATTGGGGCATGCTGTTTTAAAAGCAGAGTTTAAGGAAGTAAGTTCTTTGTCTGTTTCATTTATTTTTTATAAATATGTTACTAGCATTTTTTAAATTGTGGTTGAACTTTGGTAGCAAACAAAAAAAAAAGATTATTCAGTGTAACTTGGCACTGGCTTTTCTGCGTCAATAGAATTAAATAGTTGAAGGATTAATATTCTAAAAGTCAATAAGAAATCAATAAAAATAGGAAAGCATTTACCTAACTGAAAAAAGAGCAAAGGAGTGCTGGCTTGGGCGGCACATAGACTAGAATTGGAACGATAGAGAAGATTAGCATGGCCCCTGCAAGAAAATGACGCGCAAGTTCGTGAAGCATTCGTACTTTAAAAAGAGCAAAGGATGTGTAGCGGTAGCTCATGAAAGCAAGGCTTAAAAAAGTCGAATTCAATGAAAATATGTTCTACCTCTCTGCTAGTCACAGCGTTGCAGATTAAAATGCAGTGAAGTACCACATTTTAACTACAGAACTGATCAAGGCTAAAACTTAAAAGAACAGCACCTCTCGCTAGTGGGAGGGGGAGCGTGTGAGCTTTAGGGAGGGCGGTTGGCAGCGCATCTCCAGCCTCTAGTCACAGGCTTTGTCACGGTAATGCCAGTTCTAGAAATTCATCTTAATGAGACGTTTTCACAGCGTAATGAATAAGCCCATGTGTTGCAGTGCTAGGGACATGATACAAGAGGAAAGTGCGTTCTGTGTACTGATACCGGAAAGAAGCAGGTCACAAGAGAGCCTTCATGCTCCTGTTTAACTTCCGTATTGTAAATAAAATTTGGTTGTATACACTAAGCAGAAAATTTACAAAATTTCTACTTTGCTACCGTTACAAGGCACTGATGTATTGTACCCTGTAAACGAGGCAGCCCGTACACAGCGTATGGGAATTACACACCGCACCTGCCTCCGCACAGCCGGCCCTCCCCCAGCTCCTGCCGCTTTCCTCCGCACGGAGCTCACCGCGTGCGTGCTCCCCGCGTGCGTGTGCGGGCCTCTGCCATGGGCACTCAGTGAATAGGAGCGGGAGATGGTGTGAGGTCCAAGGCCCAGTTTCATTTTATTCTTGTATAATTGATTGCTTAACTTCTTCTTGTTTGCTGGCTGATTAGTAATTTCCTAGCCCCACACCCCACACGGTTTGAGAGCAAAAAGAAACCTCTTCAGCTTTTCCAGAGATTGTGCACACCACTCCCCACGTGCTACGCCCGTTTTCTTCCAGGGAAAGAAGGAGTTCCAAGTGTCCCTCTTCCAGACGCTGGTGCTCCTCATGTTCAATGAAGGGGACGGGTTCAGCTTTGAAGAAATAAAAATGGCCACGGGGATAGGTAAGAGTCCTCCTGTCGGGATGAATGTGTGGTTTTGTGTTGTTGTGTGGAATGTGTGGTGTCGGTGTTGTTACAACACGTATTTGTTTAAGCGAAGGTGCAGACTCAGCCTCTGCTAGCCACACTGAGCACGCAGCTCCTTTGGCTCTTGCTGAGTCTCACTCACTGTGGTGGTGGCCGCTGCCTGGTTTTCTCCCTTGCAGAGGACAGCGAACTGCGAAGGACGCTCCAGTCCCTGGCCTGTGGGAAAGCACGAGTTCTGCTTAAAAGTCCCAAAGGGAAGGAGGTGGAAGACGGGGACACGTTCACGTTCAATGGGGAGTTCAAGCACAAGTTGTTTCGGATAAAGATCAACCAGATCCAGATGAAGGAAACCGTACGTACCGACTTCCTTGTTTCACCCGCAGGGCACTCGCTGAGGGGCCCTTGGTGCTTGAGAGTCCTTTCTGAGCACCCTAGCATAGCATTGGTCAACTTCGTATTCACGGTAGGAGTGAACGTGAGACGGAAATGCGTGTAAGTTACCATCCTCTTCACAAGAGTGCAGTGAGAGATCTTCCTGTGCCGGATTCCGTTGGCGTCGAGAGCTTGTCCAAAACCCAGTCACTTGCCTTCTTATTTTTGCACAGCGCATTGCAGCCTTGGCCTCAGCCAGGGTCTGGGGTGACAGTGCTGGGGGTCGTGGGCGTCACAGACCCACGGACATCGTGGCTGTGGTCTGTGCAGGTGGAGCGTCTGGAGCTTTGATGAGGCGCTCGGCTGTCTCGTGTCCAGAGCACGTTCTGTACCGCTGCCCTCAGGCCCTTCCTAATGCGGAAGCCCTCGCGCCCCGGGGGTGTTGTCGGCATGCAGGCCCGGAGGGCGGTGGCACCCCTGGTACCGCATACAGAACAGGGCGTCCAGCCGGCCCCCGGGCATGTACGTGAGTGGAGAGGCCTTGTGAAGGCTCCAGGTCCCTCCAGAAGCACAGGCACAGCTTCAGTTGATCTGCGGTTGCTTCACTTACCTACAGGTGTTCAGGTGTAGCCCAGTTGGAAAGAAGTTTAGGTTACACAAAAAGAAAGGCCGAAGACCAGTAAACTACATAAAAGATGTTCATTCTCACGCGTAATTTTTTTAATTCGAATTAAAATAATATTCCACTTTTCATCTATCAATTTTAGGAAATGTTTAAAAGTTTGATAATATCCAGAGTTGGCAAGTATGTGAGAAAACAGGCATTCTCTTTATGTTTTTACCTTTTAAAAGATGCTTTTAGTGGGCAGTTTGACATACTTGTTAAGGATTTAAATGCATATATCCTTTGATCCATCTTTTTTTAATATTAGGAATTTCTGACAGTGATTAAAAGGTGTACAATGTTGGAGTTATAATCTCAAAGTGGGACTGTTCTCTCTGTCCCCTAGAGATAATCTCTACTGCCACTTTTATTTGCACTCATGCCGCTTTCTCCTAGGATGTAAATATAAAATCTTTTTTTTCTTTAATGGGATTACTCTATATATGCCATTTGTATGTACCATTGTGTAAGCTGTTCTTATTCTTTATTATGGGCCTCTTTCCACGTCAGGACTTGGGTTTTTCATGGGTGCAGAGTTGTTGGTTGTGTGAATCTGTGGGAGCTTGGCAGTGCCCATGTTGAAAGGCATTTAAGTTCTTTCCATCTCTACTGGAAATAACGTTACATTAAACATCCTGGCACAGAGATTCCTGTGTGCCTGTTAGAATGTTTCTTTAGTATAAAATCGTTGCCCTGGGGCGCCTGAGTGGCTCAGTGGGTTAAGTGTCTGCCTTCGGCTCAGGTCCCGGAGTCCCGGGATCAAGTCCCGCATCGGGTTCCCTGCTCAGCGGGAGGCCTGCTTCTCCCTCTCCCTCTGCCTGCCGCTCCCCCTGCTTGTGCACTCTCTTGCTCTCCCTGCTCTCTCTCTCTCAAATGAATTTTTTTAAAACCTAAAAAAATAAATAAAATTGTTGCCCTGGAGATATAAGGTCAAAGAATGTGTACTTTTGTTAGTTTGACCACCCTTTGCCAAATGGAAGTCTGACAGATTTTTACCAGATTTCAGTGTCCAGTTTCACAAGAGGGCCCTTTGCCCACCCTGTTCTTACAGGCACAGAAGTAGTTCATTGCCATTTTAGCTTGAATTTCTTTAAGCATCTTCATGCCAGTTAGTAGCTTACACAAATTATGTAGTCTTTCTGATCCTCACGTCTTTGGCTTTTGAAATAGACATAATACCACCACAGGTTGTGTGAATTACATGAACAGTGTTTACGAAACCTCTTGGCCGAGCACCTTTCAGCACCTTAGAAATGTTGGTGTGGCTCATGTTTATAGATTTTTCTAATTAATTGCTTGTTCAGGTCACTGGCACATTTGTTGGCATATTCATTCTCTCATTAGTAAGCATCCTTTATATATTAAAGTGATTGACCCTTCATCATTTCTGACAGATAATTTTGTGTTTTGAGATTTTTTTTGTTTTTCCCCACGTGGAAGTTTTTAAATTCTTAAGCATAGTCTTTTCCTTTATGGTTTCTGACTTGGGGGTCACACCTAGGAAAAACCTTCCTTTACCCCAACATTTAAAAAATAATTACTTGTGGATGCCTGGGTGGCTCAGTTGGTTGGGCAACTGCCTTTGGCTCAGGTCCTGATCTTGGAGTCCCGCATTGGGCTCCCTGCTCAGCAGGGAGTCTGCTTCTCCCTCTGACCCTGCCCCCTCTCATGCTGTCTCTCTCTCTCATTCTGTCTCTCAAATAAATAAATAAATAAAATCTTTAAAAAAATAATAATAATTGTATTTTTCTAGTATTTACATTTTTTTCTTTGAGCAACGTAGAAAATATTTTAATATCAAAAAGCAATCTAATTACTCTTCCTATTCTAAAACTGAATTGAAAATACCACTGTCTGACAACTTATTTTAATTGTCACCCTTATTTGTTAAATTCAGATATTATGGGTCAGTTTTCAATTCTGTTCTGCAAATTCTATTGCTGTTTCATAGCCAGCACCCAAAGTCTTTTAATTAATGTACCTGTTCCTATAAACTTACTCTCCCAGTGAGCTTGAGAATAATTTTATCTTGTCTTTGCCCTCCAAATAAGAACACGGACATTTTTTATTCAGAGTGCATTACATTAATTTCCAGTTTTCATTTTTACCATACTAAATCTGATTCATATCTGTGTTTGTATATATATGAATACAAATCTCTTCATGGGAGTTTTCTACTAAAAGCCTTGCCTATTTAGTAGATAGTTTAGCACATACTTATTAAGCACCTTCTCTGGGCCAGGTCCTCTCTGAAGCGCTGAGAATTCATCCATTAACAGTAACATACTCTTACAAGTCTCTGTTTGAGGGAACTTTGAGCAGACAGGTACCAGATGATTACACACTGCTGCGCTCGTTAGACTTGAGGTCACAGTTACAATGGAGAAGTATGGGAAAGCCAGTCTAATACCGTGGGTAAGGGAAGGCTTTCCCACCAAAGGCAAAGCTGAGCTAGGTGAGGCCTGAAGAGGCAGGTCACACCTGTGAGGGATTTGGGCAAGGCACTGAAGACTTTAGGCAAGAAGGCCAATAACGTGCTGGCACCTGATAGAGGGGATCTTCCTGGTTGGCATGTTTAATTATTACCAGTATGTATATATTAACACCGTTTATCTTTGTGTATTTATCTTGTATCCAGCCACTTTATAAAATTCTCATGGTCTTTGATGGTTTCTCAGTTGATTTTCTTGGATTTTTGGATTTGTAGCTCATCTACAAAGAATTATCATGTGTCTGCTCCTTTTCAGCATACCTCTTTATTTATTTATTTTTTTTAAGATTTTTATTTATTTATTTGACAGAGAGAGACACAGCGAGAGAGGGAACACAAGCAGGGGGAGTGGGAGAGGGAGAAGCAGGCTCCCTGCAAAGCAGGGAGCCCGATGCGGGACTCGATCCCAGGACCCTGGGATCATGACCTGAGCTAAAGGCAGTCGCTTAACCAACTGAGCCACCCAGGCGCCCTCAGCATACCTCTTTAGTTCTCTTAGTGCATAGCTAGAATCTCTGAAATAACTTTTTTTTTTTTTTAAGTAGGTTCCACACCCAGTGTGGATCAAGATCAAGAGTCAGACGCTTAACCCACTGAGCCACCCAGGCACCCCGCCCCCACCCCCAAAACAACATTTTTAGGAAATAATAGTGTTACCAGGCTTTTTCTTCACTTCCTCATTTTTTCTTAAGTACAGGGAACATTAACCTTTCTAGGGTCATGGATCCCTTTGGAAAGCATGGCTTCTGTCTTTCTGAAACATACACACGTCACATACATGCACAGCCCTCCCTCTCCCCTGCCCACCCGTGATCTGCGGACCTCCATTAGGTTGCTGTGTAACTAACATGAAATTGTTACCAGTATTTGCTGTTTGCTTCTTTTTTTTCTTTTTTTTATCCTTTTTTTTTATTCTTATGTTAATCCCCATACATTACATCATTAGTTTTAGATGTAGTGTTCCATGATTCATTGTTTGTGCATAACACCCAGTGCTCCATGCAGAATGTGCCCTCCTCAATACCCATTACCAGGCTAACCCATCCTCCCACCCACTGTTTGCCTCTGATAACAGCTTTTTATCCTGAATGTTCAGGTTTGGTTTTTTGTTTTTTAATTTCTCCTTATATGTTAAAGTTTGTTTTAGATCAAGAACAGATTTTCAGTTTTACTATGCCTTTGCAGCATCTGTCAGGATGATCATATGATCTAATCTTGAAACTGCTGTGGTCATATTAGTTACATTAGTAGGTTTCCTGATGTTGAGCAAAGCTGACATTTCCAGAGTAATCTCTGATAGCTGTTGTGCTTTGTTTTGTTTTTACTGTGCTACTGGATCTAATCCAGGATTATATAGAGTTTATGTAGTATTTTGTAGCCTTTTTATAAGGGAAATACAACTTTATTTTTCAAGGTCTGGTACTGAAGTCGTGTTGTCCTTGGGAAGCTAGGTTTTGCTCGAACAAATAAAAATGCATAACAGAACAGGATCTACCCAAAGTTTGGCCTTTCTTTGCATCAGAAGTTTCTCATCAAACTCAACAATATGAAATAACGCCAAAATACATCTTTAAGCTTCGCTCTTTTGTGTGCAAATGCAGGTGGAAGAACAAGTCAGCACCACCGAGCGTGTGTTTCAGGACAGACAGTATCAGATTGATGCCGCTATTGTCAGAATAATGAAGATGAGAAAGACTCTTGGTCATAATCTTCTAGTTTCTGAATTGTATAATCAGCTGAAATTTCCAGTAAAGGTAAATGTATATTAGCTTAATTAAACTTGTAGTATTGTGCTGAACATTGAAAAAGCGCGTTCAGCTCTTAACACTGTAGACTCATTTGTCCTGCATCACAGGTGATCGTTTGCTTGCACGAGTCTACCTTTGTGTGCCCACCGACTGTCGAACAGCCAGCAAGTGATGACAGCAGAGTCTCTGTCCCAAATGCTGTTTGTCACCATCTGGGAACGAGAGGTCCCTAAACTCCCGCTTGCAGGGATGTTGTACTTGATACCTTTTTAGGAGGGGGAGGCGCGTGGCAGAGCTTGAGACCATGTTTCTCAGTAGTGTAGCTGTGCAGGTCATGCCCTGGGATTCTGAGGAAATCCCACTAACAGCTCATTTACTCAGCATTGACGAGCTCCAGACCATTTTCTGTTTTGATAATCTCTCCTTGTTTCTGTGCATGAGAAAGTTGACCCTGAACAGACTGAGAGCTACTGCCCTGGACGTATGGACATATGTGGAGTACGGACCGGTTAGGGAAGCATTAGGAAAAGCTCTTTGAAACATGAGCCTCCACCTGGAAAGTATGGGGCTCTCATGAGACCTGGCTTTTCAGTGCCTGAGCCTGGCCCTGTGTTCCTTTGGGGTGGAAGTTCCCCGATTCTGTGTTGTCCAGTTTGGTAGAAGAGCAGCTCACCCTCCATCCTCACTGAGGGAGTCAAGTTGAGGTGGGTCAGTGAGCAGACGCCGACGCAGCTGGAGCTGTCTTACCCGAGCAAGCACGGGGCAGCTGTGCCCTCCAGAGACGGCGCATTCTCCACAGTGCCTGGGCGGTCACGAAACCCTGCCGTGGGCACCATTCTTTCCTACCTCTAGCAGGGCGAGTGTTCGCTTTCCCTTCGCAGATGAGAAACCCAGCAGTTAAAGGACTGAAGGGTGGGGGAGGTGTGCAGCGGCCGCAGCGGCGATTCAGCCCTGATCCCGTATCTTGTGAACGTATGAACTGAACAGAAGGCTAGGCCTTTTGATAGAGAGCGTGTGCCCTTGGACAGGGAGAAGCTTGTTCATAAGCGACATGAGTGTGCTTCCTCCCGCAGCAGAGCGGGGGCGCCCTTCCCGGGCAGCCTCCTCACGTGGGAGCGCTCGCAGCCTGGGCTCCCACCCCCTCCCCAGAGCACAGTCAGGACGCAGTAACACAACACAGTGTGGGAGACATGCCCTGACGCAACATCAGGTTCCCCGTCACACAGATGGGATGTCCTACCCTGGGGTAGGGTCGGCCATGCTTGTGGGAGTGAGTGCGTGAGTGCGTGCTGGTAAAGAACGCGTTCACCCTTGAGCACGCGCGGCCCGCTCTGACCGTCCGTTCACGTGCGAGCGCTACCATCAAGAAGTAAGGTTAGCACTGTCTTCGAAGTGTAGGGACTTCCATCGGGTTCATTTTGTAATTAGCTAGTAATTATAAATAGCTTACATATAGATACATACGTTTTCTGTAATCATGTATGTAATATATGTACATAATCATAATCACAAACTTCTTGCATACGTTCTGCTCCCCTATGTTTGTAAATTTAATGCTGCTGTAATGGAGGGGTTTTGTTTTTCTTTTTCAGCCTGGAGATTTGAAAAAGAGAATTGAATCTCTTATAGACAGAGACTATATGGAGAGAGACAAGGACAATCCGAATCAGTACCACTACGTGGCCTGATGTGTCGGCCGCCCTTTTCTCTCAGCGAGACACTAGAATGTATCTTCAGAGCAGTGAAGCACTTCCGTGCTGTTTCCAGGACTTCTGACATTGAGCCAGCACGGAGACTTTGGGATTCGAGGGAAAAGAGATGATTCTTGGATCACCCTTCACAAAGTTTGAGGGTTTGCGAATGGCATATGTGTCTTTCCCTCCAGTTCTTCCTCTTAACTCTCTTTGGTGTTTAAATCGTTTCTGTTGCTCTGTTGCAGAATGACTTTGAGATTGGACAAGAAGATGTTGGTTAAAAGAGTGTCCTTTGTCACATGGTGCTCTTGTGGCAGAAAGCTGAAGGTTTGGTTTGGTGCGTGTGTGGTCATGAAGGCACGGCTGAAAAGACCCTCCGTGCTGCATTTGCGGGCGGCAGAGGTCCTGAAGGCAGGCTCTCTTAGTTGACGGACGCTTATTAGGAACGAGAGCCCTCTGTGGGCAAGCATTAGGAAGAGGCAGTCGGTGTCAGACACTGGCTGATGGATTATGCAACCTAATCCTGGCATCTCTTTGTTTGCTTTACTTTCCATACGTTTGAAGCTCCGATGGCTGACTTTTTAGAGCGAGCTTTCTCGGTGAGACCACTCCCGTGTGCCGGGACAACACCGGGTCGGGCGTACCTGCCGCAGGAACCCATGCGCATCTTTGTTCTACTTCCACTGAGTTGTTTGTGAATTTTCTGTTTAGGGGTTTGGGGGACGGTGTGTTTGTGTTTACTCTTCCAGGATTGCGTCTAGCAGCCCGTTTGTGCATCGGGGTAACTGCTGTTTGATTTGTTTAATTGCTCGAATAAAGTTTGGTTTGTTTTTACAGTCCTGTGCAGGGACGGCTGTTGCTCTCTGTGCTGTGACCACTGTAAAAAGTTCTCTAGGAGACTCCAAGTTTTGATATTGTGAAGCAGAGGTTATTTTGTCAAAAGATTAAAAGGACTTTGTTGGCACCTGGTTTCATGTGTGTGTGTGTAGGTGAGGTTGAGCAGGGGGACGATGATGTTAGTACGTAACTGTAACAAAGATACTTTTCTGGTAACATTTAAAAGTACTTTATATTTTACATAATAGCATGTTTCATTTTGATTAAAAGCTACCAAAGGAATTTTGATCATGGTATGAGTGTTTAAAGCAATATTTTCTGGAATATACCAAGTTTATATAATTTAATTTTGTGCTAAATTATTAAAAATTTCTCCCTTTTTGAAACATGCGTGTTTAAAATATGACATCTTATGGGTTTCCATGTGAAAATCCTCACCCTTGAAGTATCATTATTTCTATATTTGTAAATTTTCATTTGTCAGTTCTATAATATGTGGTCTGTAAAAGACCAAATAGATTTCTACTTCTTAAATTTTACGTTTATTGTCTCTAGAGATTGTTAATCTTGTAATTTAATGTAGACTTAACTCTGAATAAAATTAGTTTAATTGGCCTTAAAATTATATTAATAAAACCTGTGGTATGCAAACTACATTCTTCATAACTCTTCAGCGACTTAAAATCCACGTCCAGGACAGCGGGGCAGACGGGGCCACCCTCTCAGGAGTCGAGCTGTCCCGTCCTCTCACAAATCAGGGGTCGGGGAGGCTGTTGTTGCAGTGAAAGGCCGACGCGGCCAAACAGATGGTGTAGGGGAAGTGAGGGGGGGCAGGGGCTGCAAAACTGGAGAGGCGGTGAGCGCAAAAAATCTAAGAGAAGCAGAGAAGAAGCTGTGACCAAAAAAAGACCTAAGTTTTTAACAGAACACAAAATGAGCAGAAAAGCCAAAACATAATGGAAAGTCGTGTTTTCAATAGCCACAAAACAATGACAAAATTCCTAGTAGCAAACAAGGAAATAGCCACATGAAAGGTGTGTTTGAATGACATGGGAGCAGAGAGAAAGCCTGAGGAAGGAGCAGAGTGGCTGATCTTAATTTATCTGCAGCATCTGAGGACACCACACGGCCCTTAACCTTAGAACACAGGCCAGGTGATCCCGAAGTCACAGGAGAAAAGCAGATGGGCAAAAATAGCCACAAGTGGCTTTAAAACCTGTCCTAGCGTGGTATCAGTGAAACGACATGCTCCTGGCACGCAGCGGCCTCCCGGAACCAAATAGTCCACAAATAACCCACACACAGGAGCGTGGTGCAACGTGAGGGGTGCGTCGTCGGGCAGGATCTGAATTACCACCTCGAGAAAACCACAGGTGGATTATCCTCCTCGACACCAAAATAAGTTCCAGTGGTCAAAGATTTAAGTGTTAGATGAAGCCATAAATATAAGAAGAAAACATGAGATCCAGGATTTTTTTAAATTCTCATTGGAAAAAAGTCTAACCGTGCAATAAGATACATGTATTTCTCAAGTGCCAAGTGGCCTTCTGAAAGTTTACGTGGGGAACAGTGTCCCTGGGGGGTGCTGGATAGGACTCGGCACTAATTACGTGAGTGTGCGTAGAGCTGCCAGTGGGCGAGTGTGGGCCGGCGACCCGTGTGGGTCTGGAGGCTGTGCGTGCTCTGGGTGAGCCTCAAGGATCGGGACGGGCCGAGGAGGTGGGTATGGGCGCGCCCACCCACTGTGATTTCCGGAAAGGAGAAAAGCCACGGCTGGCGCCCGGGTGGACTCCAAAAGGTCACTCGGAGACACGTCGGTTCGGAGCTCTGCAGATGTTTGGGCACCGTCGTGTGGAGAGGCTTCCCGAGCCAGGAGGGGGTGCCGCCCAGGTGGGCAGGGGCGGGGGCAGCCGGCTCCACGAAAGCTGGCCGCCGGGGGAGGAATTGCGCGTGTCTGGAGGGGACGGGGCGGAGAGACGGGAGGTGTGTGCTTCAGAGAAGCCGGGGTTCACGGAGTGGGGAGACTGGCCTGCTGGTGGCAGTGAGCGGAAGGGAAGCCCCCTTGCCCACCTCCAGGCCCAGGGTGAGGGGCCCCGTGGAAGGACGGCCCGGAAGTGCCGGGCTGCAGGAAAGCAGGGCCTGGGGGGCAGTGGAGGTGGTGGGGGAGCCACGGGGATGGGGAGGCCACTGCCCACAGGCCCGTGGCCAACATCCCCACTCGGTGCGCAGCCCGCCTCCCCGGCCTCCTGCTCCTGCCATGGGAACTGAAGAGGCCTGGCGGGAGGCCCCGTGCGGCCGACCGGGCGGTGATGTGGGGTGACGGCCTCTCAGCGAACGTGCAAGCATATCTCAGCTCCGGAGACGCCCGTACCTCTGACCCGACAGAGTCCGTTTCCAGGCGCTTACTCAGCGGCGTGTCGCTCACTCGCGGTGATGCCGTCTCGTCACCGAATTCTCGGGCGTCCGCCGGCACGTGGCAGAGCGTGCGAGGCAAGGAGTGTGCCAGGCCGCGAGGGCGCGTGGCGTCCTGGAGGGTGAGGATGGGGCAGAGTGGACTTCGCACTGTGTACCCTTCGTGCCGTCTGAATTTCTGTCAAAGCAACGTAAGGAAAATGAATGACAAGTTAAGAAAGAGAGAGCGGCGCCCCCCGCCCCCCCCCGGCCCCTGGCACGGGCCCCAGCTCGCCGGCCACGCGTCATTTACTTCCTGTCATCGCGCGAACCTCCGTTTCCTTGCTCCCCGAATTTGCTGTTTCTCAAGAGAATCTGCTGTGAACAAGAGGACCTTAGGCCCGTATTCCCCCCCGTGCTTCTCCCCACGTCTTTCTCCCGATTTCTTTTTTTTTTTTTTAAAGATTTTATTTATTTGAGAGAGAGAGAATGAGAGAGAGCGAGTACATGAGAGGGGGGAGGGTCAGAGGGAGAAGCAGACTCCCTGCCGAGCAGGGAGCCCGATGCGGGACTCGATCCCGGGACTCCAGGATCATGACCCGAGCCGAAGGCAGCCGCCCAACCGACTGAGCCACCCAGGCGCCCCTTTCTCCCGATTTCTGACCACTCTGGTCAGGTGACTTTGATGTTTACGTATTTGTATTAACGCTCAGACTTTGCCCGTTTCGTCTAAAGCCGAATGCTCGTCTCCGGCCGTGCTGTCACGATCACCCTGGCCCCGAGTCCACCAAGGGTGGCCCTGCACCAGCGCCCGGCGCGCGCACTCAGCACCCCAGACAGACGGGCTCCTTCCCTCCGCGTCCCGGGTCGCCGCGCTGAGCGGGCCGTGGCTTTGTGTTCTCCTGCCGTCTCTACTCGCTCTGCTGACGGAGAAGCGCCTGCCTCGTCCTGTCACCAGGGTCGGCGTGTCCCGAGCGCCTGCCCTTTCCCCTGCGGGTCCCCTCCCGGCCGTGCCTGCCCTTCGGAGACTGCGAGAGAACGCACGGGCGACGCTCGTCCGGGTCCCTGCCTGTCTTCTGCTCGCTTGACTGCATAGAAAACCCTAGGGTCCAGCTCATCTTCCTCAGAACTGGGAAGGCTTTGCGCCAAGAGTTTCCAGCTCTAGCGTCTACTGCCATTTTGTAACTCACCTGTTTTTTGGAGTTTCTTCCACACAATCGAAGTCTTCTATTCCTGAGTTTTGTGCTGCTGCCCCGCCAGGACTCGCGGCTCGGTTCCGGGAGGTGTTCTGCCTACCCCGCGTCTTCCCGTCCCACCTTCTTTCGGAGAAGCTCGCTAAGCGGACAGACCACCGGATGTCACGAAGCGGCGGCCTCCCCACCCCGCCCACGGCGCCCCTCTCCACGCGTGCTTCTGCAGTGGGCTGTCGTTGCTGTTTCCTGAGGCCTCGATCGGAGCAGCAGACCCTTTCGTGGCCACGGTATCTTCTTGCACGTCAGAGGCCCGGTTTCGAAGTTGTCAGGTTCTCAGGGCTGGTGAAGGGCCGGACGTAGGGAGCCCAGGCTCGGTGGGCCGAGCGCGGTCACTGCCGTGTCCCCCCCTCTATCCGACTTCCAGCGTACGTGAGGGTCGCGGGGCCGGCCTCGGGACCCCCTCTCCGCCCGCTCCCCTCCGGCCCCAGCGCTGGCGGTACCGTGTGTCGCCGGGGGCTGCGCTCGTCTCCTCGAGGAGACTTTCTCGGGCACATTTTAGCCCTGCGTGCGCAGCGTCTGGTGCACGGTACACTTTCAGTAAACGCTGCTGTGCACGCCGAGGCGCCGCTACGAGACGCGAATGAGGAGTAGAGCCGAAGAAGGAACACAAGTGTGGGTGCCAGGAACTGAGGAGGGAGTTTGCGGGAAGAAATGGTCACTGCACCGGGAGCTGGGAATCGTCCAGGTTTTGTGGTAACCAGGGGCCACTGCTCCATGGCAGGGGCAAGGCAGCGCTGCTTCTGGGCAAGGACACGAGCAGGTGTGCAGACTGGGAGGAGGGGGCTCCAGAGTGTGTGTGTGTGAGCGTGTCTGCGTATGTGTATTTGTGTGCGTGTGCAAGTGTGTGTGTGCATACACGTGTTTGTATGTGTGCATGTATATTTGGGTACGTCTGTACGTGTGTGTATGTTCTTGCCGAGACAGGTCATTATGTAAACGTAGGCACAGATACGGAGGAATGCAAAGCAACAGGCTGAGGACCTGAGCAGATTTGCAAGGATTCCTGTTACCAGTGATGTACAAATCAAGGTCCACCGCTTTATAGGCCGAGACCTTGCGTTTTACCGTGGACACGGTGTTCTGGGTCAGCTTCTCGTGATGGAACATTGTGGAGGCGCCAGAGTCAGTGGAGAGACAGATGGTTTCAGGCTGCAGCTTTCAAGTCAGATGGCCCAGGGGTCCGAGCCTGGCTCTGTCACCGTCCGGGTGCCCGTACAAAAATTACTTAAATGCTCTAAACCTGGTTTTCTTGTCTTCTTGAAGGGGATAATGCTAGTTGTCTCGTGGAGCTGTTCTGAGTTACCGTGTACAAAGGTACTCCTACTCCGTACCGCCCGCCACAAAAGGGTGAGTGGGGTCAGTGCGCATCACAGATGAAATCTGCCCACAGGAGGGCAAGGAAGTGCGGGAAGGGAATAAAGAGCAGAAATAAAGTGACCCAAACACCCTAAGAGACAAAGATTCCCAGACCAAGAATTAAGACCAGCGTCTCCATCATCCACGAGACAGGCAATGATAAATAGAAAAACACACATGGGGTAAAATAAACAATGAGAAATGATGTACCACGAAAACTGATCAGGAAAGCTGGAGTGGCCTCATTCATACCAAGCAGCCCTGAGGACAAGGAGTACTCCCAGGGACGAAGAGCCCACTTCAGAGAGAGAAAGGACACATTTGTCACCTTGAACCCTGACTGTGCAGGCCTCTAGTAACAGAGCTTCAGAATGCACGGAGCAAAACCTGACAGAGCGGAGAAGATCAATGGGAGACATACAAATCCATGCTTGTGGTCAGGGGCATCAGCCCTCTTCTTTCAGTACTCGATAAACAGAAAATCAGGAAAAACCCGAAACGTGACCGGCCAATTACGGAGTACTGCACCAACAGCAGAACATTCTTTTCCAGCGCCCAGGGGACATGCATCAAGGGAGGCCTACGGTGAGACATCAAACTAGTCTCATGTTTAAAAGGATAAAATTATACAGAATATGTTTTCTGACCACAAGTTAAATTGGAAATCTAACAATGATAACTGTAAATTACTAAATGTTTGGAAATTAAGCAATACACTTCTTTTTTTTGAGATTTTATTTTTAATGAATCTGTACCCCCAACGTGGGGCTCGAACTCATAAACCCGGGATCAAGGGTCTCACACTCCACTGAGCCAGGCAGGCATCCCCAGCAATACACCTCTAAATAAACAATCCAATAATTCTAACATAAATAGATAATGTAATTAAAGGACACACTTTTAAGTAACCCATGAGTCAAATAAAACAAGGAAAATTAGCAAATATTTTGAGTGAATAGGAAAACACAACATGTAAAAGTTTATTTAAAAAAACAGCTAAAGAAATGCTTACAGGGAAATTCATAGCTTCAAATGTTTATATTAAAAAAGATGAAAGGTTTAGGGGTACCTGGGTAGCTAAGTCATTAAGCGTCTGCCTTCAGCTCGGGTCATGATCCCGGGGTTCTGGGATCAAGCCCCCCAATCGGGCTCCCTGCTCAGCGGGAGGCCTGCTTCTCCCTCTCCCACTCCCCCTGCTTATGTTCCCTCTCTTGCTGTGTCTGTCAAATAAGTAAATAAAATCTTAAAAAAAAAAAAAAAAAAGATGAAAGGTTTACAGTGATGTAAGCCTCCACCTTCAAAAACTAGAAACAGAAGAGCAACTTAAACCAAAGTAAATGGAAGGAAATAATAAAAGTAGAAATTAAAGATCTAGAAAATGAGCAGATAGAGAAGACCCACAAAACTGACAAACCTCTAGCCAGACTAGTTGAAGGAGAGGAAACAAAAATGATCGATACCAGGACTGAAAGGACACGGTTACAGGTCCTACAAAGAAGGCTGTGAGTCGGTTTATGCCAGTAAATTCTACAGCTTAGCTGGCATGGCCAAATTCCGTGAGATTCACAAGCTGTCCAGATGGACACAAGAAGAAACAGAAAATAGTTGAATTTGTCATTTTAAATCTTTCCACAAACAAAACAAAACAAAACAAAAAAACCCTCCAGAACTGGAGGGTGTACTGGTGAATTCTATTAAACTTTTAGGGAAGAAGCAACACCAATCTTACAGTCTTTCAGAAACACAGGAGGGAATGAGTCCAGCATTACCCTGACACAGAAACCAGACAAAAATATTACAAGAAAAGAAAACGACAGACCAGCCCTTCACCAAATATTAGCAGTTTGAATCCAGCAATATATAAAATCAGTAATACACCAAAACCAAATGAAATCTGGTGCAGAAGTGCAAGGTTAACATTTGAAAATCTAAAAAAGAAATAAAAACATATAATCATCTGAATAGAAGCAGCATTTGATGAAATTCAACACTGTTGATTTAAAAAACAACTCCCAGCAAAGTAGGAATAGAAAAGAACTTCCCTAAGCTGAGAAAGGACATTCACAAAAGATTTGAGTTGACATTATGCTTAATGTAACAGGCAGAACGCTTTCCCCCTGCGGCTGGGACGGGGCACAGAAGGAGCTGGTAGCCACTGCGCTAAGACAACAAAAAGAAAGAAAACACATACAGGTGGGAGAGAGTTTATAAAATAGTGTTTCACACATGACATGAGCATGTGGGTAGAACAGATGAAGAAATCTACAGAACTGCTACTAGAGCTGATACGCCAACTTAGCAAAGTCACGAGAGGTCGCTAAACAAAGGTCAACTGTATTTCCACATTCTAGCAACAACTGGAGAATGACATTTAAAGGTGCAGCCCCATTCACAACTGTACCCAGAAATGTGTGGAATACTTAAGTTACAAACTGCACAAAAACATACACACTAGAAACTACAAAGTATTGCTGAAAATTATTTAAAGAATAAAGCAAATGAAGAGCTGCATCATGTCAAGGTGTCTGTTTTCTCCAAGTTGGTATGTGCGTTCAATCCAGTACCTACCAAAATTCCAGCAGGGTTTTCCTTTATAGAACAATGATAAGCTCATCTTAGAATGTACATGGAAATTGAAGGAGTTAAAGCACCTTGTAGAAGAACAGCTGGAGAGCTAACTCTCCCTAATTTAGAGACCTGCTCTGAAGCCAGAGACAGAGACACAGATGTGCCAACAGAGCAGGGAGCGTCACAGCATGCCCACCCGTGCACCCGGGTGCAGCTGTGTCAGTTTCAGTAAAGGTGCCAAGGGGACTTGGGGCTAAGTCTCTGTATCAAAGAGCTATCTATCTATTGGGGGGGGGGTGAACAAATGAAGAAATGTACAGAAACTGCTACTGACTTTTATCTCACACCATCCACAAAATTTAATTTGATCATAGGCCCAATTGTAGAAGCTAAACCATAAAACTTCTAGAAGAAAACAGGAGAAAACTGTTATAATGTTGGGAAATGCAGAGATTTCTCAGGACATAAAAAGCATGAGTCATGAAACAAACATTTGATAAACTGGACTTTAATTAATAAATTTTACTTTTTGAAAGATACTACTAAATAAAATAGCAAGCCACGTCATGGGAGATAATACAGTACTGGGAAGTAGCACACTCAGAATATATTTTTAAAAAACACTCAGAATTCAAAAAAAGCAATAAACCATTTTTAAAAACTAGGACAAAGTTTGAACAGACACTTAACCAAGGAAGATACGTGAATGGTGATGCGCATGAAAGATCTTTGCATCTCACTAGTCCTCAGGAAAACACAAACTAGTCACGAGAGAATTAATGGCTATCGGAAAGACCGTTGATACCAGGTGTTGACAAGGACGTTGGTATGGATGGAAAAGCGTCCGACAGTTTCTTCTTAAACATGCACTCCCTGATGACCCAGCTTTTCCACTCCAACACATTTACCCAGGAGAAATGAGAGCCTGGTCCACCCAATGATGTGGTTTTGATTGTTCACCGCAGCTTAATTGGTAACAACCCAGATGTCCTTCTGCAGGTGCGCAGGTGAACTCCTGGTCTTGCAGTGGGATCCACCCCATCCCCTCTGAGCACCATCGTGGGTTACAAAGGTTGAAATATCTCTGTGTTGATTTCAATTCCCAGTGTCTCCCACTATTAGGAAAGGGCTCTGGTTAACCACATTTCGTTTCTCAAACAAGCATAGGCCCTAGGTAACACCACCCCCGACCCCAGGGCCCACAGACCGCGACCAGGTGAGCGTGTCACTGGGAACATGAGCTCAATTGAAGTTAGGCGGTCACTCCTGCTGCAAATGACTTGGGACTGGGTGAGTTACACTGCTTTCCAAGAAAGTAAGTGTTTTGGTTCTTTTTTTATGAGAGAGTTCCTTTTTCATAACCATCTAAAAGGAAGACTACCGTGGTTGGAGTATTTCAAGGAATCTATGGAAAGGAAGTTGTCAGAGATGCACACGAGGCAGACGCGTAACCGTCAGTGGACTTTAAACAGCAAAAGTACCAGCAGTCTGAGTGTCCTAAAGGAGAGGGCTGGTCTTCAGAAGTGCTGTGTGACTCACGTGACTCGCGCTTCTCTCCCCACCCCAGAGCACACGTTTCACTTGAAAGTTGACAGTTTCCTACTTCTCTGACATGTTCCTCACTAACTTACCCTATGACTTAAACTTCTACACTTTTCCAGCCACGATTTACTTGCCTTTTGGACCATTAATAAACCAAAATAGATATTCTTGAGGTAAATGGGCAAGAGAACTGGGAAAGAGAAGTGAAAAATCTTGTCTCCTGGTAGTAAATGAGAGGCGCGGGGCACAGACCCAGCCGTGACCGTGAGCGGCACCGCGGAGCGCCCTGCCTCCTCGCAGGCCTGGTGCTGGCAAACCTCACCTTTCAGCGGCTGTGTGCCAGCTGGTTCTTGGGCAAAGGAAAAATGACGGATACCTTGCGCAAAACAAAAATATGAACAAATGATCCAGCCTGTGTGATGAACGACCAGGCAAAAGAAAATGTCACGCCCTTTAACGGTCACTGGTGGGCGTATAAACTGCCAAAATGTACTAAACGTTACTGCTTTTTACCTAGTACATTTATTCTGTTTACTTCCGTGACTGTCCATCTTCTGAGTCTTTAAATACATGGCAGTTCCAGCATCACAGGGTCCATTCTCACCCACCCACCCTTCTCCTTATTTGTAGCTTCTTTCTTCACAGGGAGAAACCTGCAAATTACGGTTATCTGCAAAATACCTACCTGTTCGTTCAACACCAGTAAACATACAAAGTAGTTTAAGAACTGCTAACTCCCGCCCCAGGGAAACCTGGTTTAGAATGGAGCCTGGGGCTGGCAAGGGGACGTGCATGCCCTGCCGCTGTCCCCAGATGCAGACCCAACAGCAAGTCTGGTTCTATGTCAGAAGCTGGAGGGGAGGGAAGGGAAGCTGGACAAACACGACAACAAGGAAGAAGACAACACTTACTAAAAGCAAGCGAATGTAAAACGAAGGGGGAAAGCCCCAAGAACCAAGGACTGCTCGGTAGAGTGACTGCAGTCCACAGACTGCGCTGAAGAGGCTCAAGGAACACTTCCAGGGGAGGTGAGAGTGAGGGCCTCAGCGCGGCGGCCCGACAGAAGGCAAGGGAGGAGGAGCCGGGAAAGTGCCTGCAGAACTGCAGAGCCAAGGGCGGAGACGCTGAGGGAAGGGCCGTGTGGCCAGGGCTCCAGACCGCGGTCGGACAAGAGAAGACCCAGGGAGCCTCTAGGCAAATCGAGGGCTCGGGTAACGGGCGGTGAGCGGGAGAGGTACTCCGGGACGGCTCTGGAGCAGGGAGCACGTAGGGTACGCGCTGCACCCGTGTCCCCGAACTTTCTCGATAACTGAGGCCCCTCGCCCCGTCCCCATCCGTCCTTAGGAGGGTGTCACCGCTGCAGGTCCTGTAACCGCTGAACCCCCTGCGACCAGGGCTTTGTCTCGCCTTGAGTTGGTCCTTTGCGGCGTCGATGTTTGGCCTCGAACATTCAATACGCGCGCTCAAGTCGTCCCCTCCCTCCTCGCCCCACGTCCAGCCCCCCCGCGAATCAGCGGCCCAGAGGAGCCCCCGTGAGCGTGCCCAGGCCCACAGGACAGGGCATGGTCAGTGCCGAGGCCCTCGAGGAAACCCTCACTGCTCTCGGGCGCGACCGGTGAGCGCGGGCCTCACTGCGCCCCCGGGGCAGCGTGTCGGCCGCGGGCCTCGGCAGACAGCCGCCCTTCTCCGGGGCACACCCGTCTCCGACTGTGGCCGACGCGGGGAGGGCCGCTGAGGACCCCCCCCCCCCCCCCCCCACGCGCCGGCTGCGCCCACTTCCCGCTTCACGCCGCCAGACCCCTTCCCGGCTCGGGAGCCGGGCCATCGGTCACGTGGAGCCACGGTCACGTGCCTGCGGGTCACGTGCGAGGCGGGCCCTGGCTGGGGCGTCGTCGTCCTGTGCTCGTGATCTCGCGAGACCCTCGGGGTCACGTGACGGCGCGGGCGCGGCGCGGGCTCACGTGACGGGCGCCGCCGGCCGAAGGGTCTCTTGCCTCCCGCGGGCGCCGCAGCGGCCGGGCCTCTGGACCGCGGGACCGTCGCCTTCACGCCGCCCCCGGCCCGCCCGCCTCTGGGGCCAGCCCGCGGCCCAACCGCCCCTGACCCGCTCGGCTCCCGCTCCGGCCGCGGCAGCCCTCGCGCCCATGGCGGCCCTCGGCGGCGCTCGGCGGCGGCCTCTGCTCCTGCTGCTGCTCGGTGAGGGGCCGGGGGCGGCGGGGAGGGAGTTCCCGGGGGTGCCGGCTGGGCCGGGGGTGGCCGACGACATGGGGGGCCCGGGGAGGGGGGCGGCGGGCCGGCGAGTCGTCTTCGCCGCGGCGGAGGTCGGCGCCTGGGGTCTGGCGCGGAGCCTTCTGGCCGCCGCTTGAGGACTTGGGGCGGGAGGTCGGCTAAGGGCCGGTCCCGCTGTGGGGTCCCTAAACTCGTTTTCGGGGTGTTCAGTTGGAAAGTAAGTGGCTCGTTGGTTTCGGGACAGCTGTGGTTTATCCTCGGGGGCTACGTGAAGCTGTGCAGCCGAGGCGGCAGGACCTGCGTGGTCCTCCGGGCTCCCGGCGGCACGGATCTCGCCGGGGGAGAGTGGGACGGCGCGGCGATCCCGGCCCTTTGGAACTCGCCTCTTGTGCTTTAAGCTTCTCCCCCTCGCGGCCGGGCTCGGAGCGCTTACCCAACGTGTGTCTGTGTGGCTGAACTTAGAAGTTACCCTTCCGTGCTTGGCGGAGCCCACGGTGGTAGAGAGGCGACGAGACCGGGCCTCGGCCTCACAATGGCAGTGTCCGTTTCGAGTGAGGGCTCGTAAAGAGCGCTGCGCCTGGTCCGTGGGCGCTGGTTCCGGAGTCCGAACGCGGGACTCCGTCAGCACAGACCTCAGAAGCAGCCGGGTGCTCAGTGTGTTACTGGGTGAGGGACTTTGTTCTTCTTCCTTGTATCAGTAAGAAAGAGGAGTCTGTGCTGTCTCCTAAAGGGGAATCACTGCGTGGCTTGATTTTAAGGCTGTTTTCATGCTTGAGGAACTTCTCTCTGTGGCACGCTTTGCGCCCCCTCCCAGATAACACGGGGAGATCATCCAAAGGGCAGAGCCCGAAGTAGGACACAGAAGACTGCTCGTGGGAGCTCGCATGAGTGAGGTGGACGCGCATACGCATTACGGCACCTGCGTGCCCACGAAGTCTCTGTCTAAACTCTAAAATTCTGTTACTGTGACTGGATGGGCTTTCGTTTCACGTTTTTGTCTTGCCTGTTGTGTAAAATGAGTTCTCGGAGCTGCGTGAATAGCCGCAAGGGACGGCCTTATTCCGGAGGACACCCGGAGCTTGCCCTTCCCTGGCAGGTGTAATTACCACGGGAGGAGTTGCTGGAACAAGTCCTGTCAGGTCAGGACGGCAGCACTGTTCTTTACTAGAAGAGCTCACAAGCATTGGAATTTTCGTATTGTATATTTTAAAAGTCACCTTGAAAATGAAGAGAAACAGCCTTAATTCCCTGCATTGTGATAGCTGGGGGAGCTGTACGTGTCATAAGCTTTCTGACGCTTATTCCATTGTCTTTTTAGGATTTATATTCAGTTGAAATCCAACTTTTAGAAAAGGTATATTCATTTGGATTTAGGTCTTTTTAAAATGTTTATTTTGATGCATAATTTTACCAAAAAGCATCTTTCCTGAAAAATAATTCGAACTTCAAAACTACGAATTCTTCCTGCATTCATTTGTGTTTGAATACTTGGTAGAAAGCAAAGGTGGGGGTGAACTGAAAGTGTCCAACGCTTGGGATTAGGTGACATTTCGTAATGTGACTCTTTAAACCACTGGTGTCAACTAGATGATTTCCTTCCCCTTTCCAAATGAAGAACTGTCACTTGGGAAGTTTGAAAAGTTTTATTCTAATTAACGTTATTCTTGATTGTGGGACTTTTGTCAGTTACTTGGGTTGGTGACCAAATTCTTAACTATTTTTGAAGTCAAAGTGTTCGGGGTCCATGGTTTCAAATTTCTGTTGTTAGACGCTCCCTTCTCTCTGCATCCACGGATCTTGGCTACATGCATGTGTAGCATGAGTTTTTCCTAGAACATCATTTTAGTTGTGCTGTGATTACTTACACACAGGTCTCCCTTCCTCATCTTACAGCCCATCTTGTGCCTCACACATAGGAAGTGTTTCGTGTGTACACATAGCACCCGGTTTTACAGCAGCAGTCCCTAATCAGATGTGCATAAGTCAGCTCTTCAGAAGTGTCTACTCGGGCTCTGCCTCTGTGGGTTGTGATTCCCTGTGAGGGATGGAACCTTGGTCTTTTTTTCCTTTTTCCTTTAAATCTTCATAGATGATTATGTATTACTGATTAAGAAGAAAAATACTGGATTTAAAAGCATCAAGCCAAGACAAACTAGGAAGTATTTCTTAAAAAGAAAATTAAGAGGGCGCCTGGGTGGCTCAGTCGGTTAAGCGTCTGCCTTCAGCTCAGGTCATGATCCCAGGGTCCTGGGATCGAGTCCCACACCGGGCTCCCGGCTCAGCGGGGAGCCTGCTTCTCCCTCTCCTCCCCACTTGTGCTCTCTATCTCGCTGTCTCTGTCTCTCTCAAATAAATAAAAATCTAAAAAAAGAAAATTAAGATTTTAATTATTTGAGAGTGTGCATGAGCAGGGGGGAGGGGCGGAGGGAGAGGGAGAAGCAGACTCCCTGCCCAGCAGGGAGGCCGATCCAGGACCCCAGAATCATGACCTGAGCCAGAGTCAGATGCTTAACCCCTCTTATAAAAATTCTAATGTAGAAATTCATTGACTTGTTCCTTCGGATGGCAGTGTCTTCATTTCAGAAATGAGTGTTTCATAATTTGAAACCTGTTTGCTCACTTGGCTAGTGTTGGAGAGGAAGCACGGTTCAGATGTGGCACCCAGTTCCAGATTGCTCAGCACCACTCACTAGCTGTGTGACCTTGAGCAAGTTAATGTCTCTGTCTCAGTCTCCTCAGCTGTACAAGGGAGTCATAATAGCATTTACCTGTTAAGTTGTCATGATAGTTAACTGCAAAGTGTTTGGTGCAGGGCCTGGCACATGGCAAGTGCTGGTTTAATAAAATTTACTTATTTGACATTTTGTGTCAGGTACTGAGGATTCAGTGATGAACTCGGTAGATGAGGTCTGAATAGCTTTATTTAAATAACGTCAGGGAGCATTAAAGCCAGCGCTCATGCCCTGTACTGAGTGCTCTGTGTACACTAGCTCATTTGATACTCTGATAACCCCGAGGGGTCAGCGCACTTGTTCCAGTTCATAGGCGCATAAACTGAAGGCAGCGATTGCTACTGGCCCAAGGTCACACAACTAGTAAGTGATGGAGGAGTCTGTCATAGTCATGCTTCTCACAGCTGTACTTGTTTTAGAGAATGGAATTTCTACCAGTGGGAGTACTTTGAAGCCAAAGTTACTCCTTTGTATGATCCCTGGAGAAATGATTAAGTTCATGCCTGTGGGAAGGACTGCTTGAGGTTAGCCATTGCCAGCAGGCCAGGGAGCTAGCTTTGAAGAGGGACACACACTCCTCAAATCACTGTGACATTTTAATTAATTTAAGAAGAGTTTTTTTCTTCTTAACCAGCTATCACTGTTACAGAATTAAAAAAAAAAAAAACAACTTTGGACCATTAGGGGCGCCTGGGTGGCTCAGTTGGTTAAGCGTCTGCCTTCAGCTCAGGTTGTGATCCCAGGACCCTGAGATTGAGCCCTGTGTCAGGCTCCCTGCTCAGCGGGGAGCCTGCTTCTCCCTCTCCCTCTGCCCCTCCCCCTGCTCGTGCTTGTGCTCGCTCTCGCTCTCTCTCACTCTCTTTCAAATGAATAAATTAAAAAAAAAAAATCTTTAAAAAAAAAACTTCTGACCATTAGCATAAACACGTTTCTCTTATAATTTTATGTTCTAATGTTCTTGTAGAGCTCTTTTTCTTGACCAAAATTTGGCTTCTAGGGCTAAGTTTCTTGTTTGAACAATTGAAAATTTCTGGACCTCTCCAGAATAATTGTGGGTATCTAGTAGTGGTAAAACTTACTTTAACTTTGTTTTTGTAATACATCTTTGTTTTACTTTGAAGGCTCATACCCTCAGCATATTTACTAAGTGAAAAAATTCTGTGTTTGAAGTTATTTAATGTGAAATATTTCCTAATCAAGTGCTTTGAGTCCGTAGAAAGTGTTTTAATGATTTAGGGAACTCGTTTATGGAAGTGCAGCTTGGTAAAAAGTGGTACGTGCACGATCCCATGCGAGGCAGCGCCCTGCTGTGTCCATGGCATGTGCAGTCACGTATGACTGCAGCAGCCGGGCCAGGGCCACAGCCATGTGAGGGCGCCTCAGGCCCGAGAGAGCCTTTGACTGGAGCAGACAGTGGCCCATGTACACATGATCTGAGTCAGTGTCCGTGCTTTAACACGCTTGCTTCTGCCCTGCTAGCGTCTCTCTGGACCGCTGGTATACTAAACCTGCCCCTCTCTGAAGGCGTGAGGGTGATTTGTCTTTTTTTAAAGCCTTCACTGAGTCAGAAACGAGCTGTGGAATGTTCTTTAGGTTTTACAATGGAAATTCATTTATCAGAGTTGCCTTTAGTGTAGTCTTGCCTGGATATTGTAGGATGTAGGTTACAGTTTTGCACACCAGACAGAAACTGCGCAGGTCTCTTCTTTGCCCTAGTTAGCTGCATTCTCATGCGGCAGCTTCTTGTGAGCGTAGGTGTTGGTATTTCTCGTACCAGAAGCTCATGGGAAGGGATGTGGGGTTTCTGGCTACTTTTTGCTTTGTGCTTCAATAGC